TCATCAAGAAAAGCCGATATTATTTACTTCGACAATCCCCACCGTGCAGCTAAAATGCTGTGAGCGCCCACTTTCGACTCTGGAGTTGAAGAGACGTGCTTTATAAGTCCGTTCATACGACGGCTTTGATACTCCTACAGCCCGTGTACCAAGGACAGGGCCTTGGTGTCGGCAAGGGTGGCATGATGGGTAAAGGCGCGACACGTGGAAAACCTTGCAGTGTTCTGCAGTGCCCGAGGGGCTTTTTCTATCTTTTTCTCAGGTGGGTCCATGTCCAGCTGGCAGGGCCATCTCGGCGCAGGCCTGGATTTTAGGGAGTGTAGGGTTTAGGGTTGCCAATTCCCATCGAGACCTCATAAGCCTGGGCTACAGTGACGAGAAGGTAGACTCAGGGGTCCCAGGCACACTAAAGGTGCCGTTTGATATGCTTTGGGACGACACTAAAGGCTCACTGTGTTCTGGAATTGTTTAATGGGGGGAGGGGGGAGGGCTACATTCGTCCACGTGCAAGGCGTTGCATTTGCGGGAATTGACAGGATTGACAGATTCTGTCTCGAAAGAATGACTTCATACGTGATTCCCCGTGCAGCTCCTATAACATGCTTGAGGTACACAAATCAAATCCTTATGCACCCCTTAAACCACGTTTGAATAACTCCCCAGTACGGTCAAGAATATGCCAGTTCAATGTAAGGCAGAGTTCTCCGAGAGCACCAGGCCTCATCATAGCTGACGCGTACTTGCATTCCTGACCCAGTCCCTAACGACCCGAATGTAAACCCCCGATGTGGCTTCCACTCTGCTTCTAGCAGGGTCCTAAGCATCAAGCTTTGGAAAAATCATGTCCAGAACGCTCTGAACCTGGCCCATGAAAAGACATCCCTACATATCCCTACTACATGCAAGAACAGCAGTCCAGAACACGATATCGAGACACCAGCAATACAAGCCCGAACGTCACGATTCATGCACCAAGCTGAATCGAGACGAGCTGATGGCCGCCCTAGCGGCTCAAAGGTCTTCAGGCTGATTGGATCTTATTCGGGGCGCACGTTCTAGAATCAACATGCAAGATGCCATGAACGCCTTCCTGAGATCTGAGCTTGTTCGGCTATTCGGGCCCCACCTACAGGGGATACACCGAACACGCCGACTATCCCGAACATGATCTTACTCAGGGCCTGGCCGGAATCTCCAGGATTTGTTCAGGCATCTTGACCTTGAGTCTTGAAGCCGGCGACCGAATAGGACCTTTTCCGGCTTGTGCGGGTTTCCTGGCTTGAATCCTTGTAAGCATAACGTGCCAGCCCCCCGCCCCAACGAATCACGTCTGGACGGGGGGGGGGGGGTGCGCGCCTTACGTAAACAGTCCGTTGCACAGGTCACCCGATGAATGCGGCCCCACAGCAGATGCCCTTCGGAAACTTCCATGAGGTCGTCGAATGGGGACATGCAGTATAGGCTGACGTTGGAACGTATGCGCTTTTGGACTCCTTGGCAGCCGTGTGCGACAGGACCAGCTGAACCGAGCAATGAATCTATAGTGCGCGGGCGCGGTTGAAGGATTGCGATGACACAGCGGACACCCGGAAACATTGGCAAGCACCATCCCCCCCCCCCCTCTCATACTTGAACATTGGGCTTGCGCCATTGCGCGTCACCATCTTGTGAACTCTCCGGAGGTGTCCGCCGTGTCATCTTTGCATTTTGTCTTCACTCCTCGGTCTCCTGGTGGGGGGGGGCTTTCATGGAACAGTCGGCTAGAGCCGGAGAGCATCCTCTTTGGCTTCGCGCAGTTCTTTGCGCGAGAGCGAGAGGGAGAGGGAGAGGTTGGTTCTTAGCAGATTAAGCATCGACCTGCAAAGTTTCTCCCAACTTGTGAGGCCTTGCGGTTTGTAGTACCAGAGACCTTTTCGGCAGAGTCTCTGCGACATGTTTTTGAAAGAAAAGCAGAAGAAGGGGGCAAGGAGCTCTTGCAGCTGGCTCTATTGTCTCACCCTCCAAAAGGCCCAAGAGCCGAACCGTTCAGCGCGGTATTCCGAGTTGTTTCCTAAGCGGAGAGATTTGAGGTGGCCAGCTTGTGCAGTCTGTAGGGCAAGTTGGAGGAAGTCCTGCAACACTTTTTTCATGCCTACAGCTAGCTCCCAACTGTCAGGCATTTGAAGGGTTCGAAGGAACACGGCCAGAACCATGGGTCAAAAACGTGAACGTCGGCTCTCAAAACGCCTGTGTTTTGTAAAGCAGGCGCCGGCTGCTTGAGCTTTGTCGATTCTACAAGACGTGTGTTGGAAGATGCGGTGATGAAGGCAATCAAGGCCTTCTGACGCTCGGCCGAGCTGAGGTTTTCCAGCGCTCTCTTGACGCTGTTGCGGCTCCGTTGCTGTCAATGAGAGCAGGAGACAAACGTAGCCTGTTCAGCTTTCAGTGTCTGGAACCTTCAACTGCTGGAGTCTGTGGCAGGGCTGACAGGAAGTGATAGCATGGGCCAGTCGAAGCTAGCAATGTAGAAACAGGTCTTGGAACCAAAGCCTGCCTAAGCCTCCAATACCCCTTTTTATCAAGGATGTATATGTCCTGATGAGCAATAGCGTGGCGCACGCGCAAAGCTCCGGACAGATACCTATGGAGCGAAGCTGCCAGCTGTGTCAAGGATAGCTTCACCTGTCAGGAAAGTAGCTGCAGATGTTTGTGACCTGTTTCTCATTGTGACATAACATGTGCTTTGTGCACTCAATTGAACGAACCACCCTCCTGGGGGTAAGTAATGGTAAGTATCGGACCAACGGGCATGTGCCTACGGTATCAACTGCAATCCATCTGCTCAATGAGTAGTGTCAAAATGTTGACCTGAAAACAAAGGTGCAGATGCAAGGGGAATAGGCAAACGAACGGCGCTTACTGCTCGGTGTACTGAAGAGGACAACCCACGAAGCACAGTCGTGACAACCTCCTGCCCCTTTCCGCCCCCACTGCGGTTGAGGGTCCGCGGTGGCAGAGGAATCTGAGGCCTCGTGAAGGGGCTCACGGAGTTATTGCTACTAATAGCTTTCATTACTATTTTTCTTCTTATGCTTACTACGATTTTTGCTATTTTGATATTCCTATTCAGCACCGAATGTTGACGGTTTTGAATTTTGATTCTTCTGATAGCAATAGCAAGAATAGCAATTCCAACAGTCATGCCGTGCGGTTTAAGCAGTATATTTTCCTTCTAGTGCGCCCCTCCAAACGAATCGTTGCCCTAGAATCCTTAACCCTCGTTATATAGTCCTTCTACCAGGCTTGTGGCCTTTCCCGTTAGAATGGGTTGTTACATTGTAAGGGGCAGCACCATTCAATTTCATGCTGTTGCACCTTTAGGAGTGAAAAACGGACGCTTTGAATTAAGATGTATATGTGTATAGATATATATATGTATACATAGAGTTATCTCGTGAGAAGTTTTTGCTCGCGCCGTGCAATACTTCAAAAAACGCTAAAGAGTGAGCGCGAATTTTATAGCGGCGCTCGCAAGCGCTATAGTACGGGTGCAAAATACAAGTCATCTAATGCACCTGTGCGTTTCAGGCCTTGAGGGCAGAAGGGTCGCGGAGTGGTTTGTCCGCGAGAAGCTTCCCGAAGCTGACCACACACACACGAAAGCCGAACCTCCAGAAGACAGTTCACCGGTTCCCTTGAGTGCAGCTAAGAAACGGTTCTAAAGAACACCTTTAGCCCGAAGCCAAAGCAATGTAACACCGAGGCCGAAGATAAGCCCACTGATTCCCTTAGTGCTCTGACATACCGAACCGCTTTCGACCTGTGTGACAACTTACAAAAGTAAAGCCGCCTCGAGGAGCTCGAGGTGCAACTTTTTTTTGGGGGGTATGACTCGGTATGACAACAGAGTATTCTTTGGGCCACTGGCGGGATCCGATCTGTATGCACACACCTGCACGCACGGCAACCCCAGGTGCACGAAATGCAAACCGAGTGGCAGTGCATGAAACGCAGACTTTAGTTTGTAAATAGGGTAAACTTTCGTCCGGGTCGGTATCACCAGCGGAGTTTCTTCGTTCAGTGGTGACTCCAACACATGCGCCGCTCTTTTGCTGAACTTCTGAGTGAAGGCTTACAAAACCAAGTGACTGCTGTGAGCCACGCAATCCACCCATGTACCAGTAAGACTTGTCTCCAGTAGTAGGTTTCTGGATGCTCAATGATGCGCGCCCCGGTACATAGCCACTGGAGAACCCGACGGAGAAAGCCTGGAAACTCCAACTTGCAGCCCTTTGTAGAGCTACGTGTCAACTCATCACCTGCTGAATCTGAGGAGCCGGTTCAGGGACCGAAGCGGCAGCAGCGCGAACACCTTCCTAAATTTGGGTTGTCGCAGGATTTGACTGGAAGGGACGGGCATTGATAGGTTCAGGTTGTAATTGAAGAGACAAGTGAGAAATAAGCAGCCCCTCAACAAAAAGCATCAGACATTGAATAGAAACCTGGCCGGCCCTAAACATCATGGGGAACTTGATCGGGGAGGCGTGCGAATCGCATTGCCTCTCGCAGAAAGTAGTTGCCTACCTTGATGGCACAGTGATGGCAATTCGCTGCTTCTGCTCGTACATCTTGGCCTGCCCGACCCATCGAGATGTAGAACACAACAACCGCAGCCGAAGGTCTCATGCTGCCAAGAAACGACGGAGTGATTTGTCTTCTTGCTTTGAGCGAGCGACGGTCCCTAAGAGGCTGTTGCGAACTTCCGAAGTGATTCTTCATAGATTCGTAAGTGATCGAGCTTCCGGATGCAGTGAAATCTTCAAAAGAAGTGCAACCTCCTGGTGGACCAGAGGCAGAGCTCCATTGCTGCGTGAGGGTTGCCCATCTCCTCGCAAGTTGGACTTGCCCAGAAGAGAAGACAAAGCCGGAGGGGGGGGCAGTTTCAACACGCCCACGAAATCAAAAATCACAGTTACCTCACCTATCGGAGAGGATTACGCTGTTTTTCATCTGACGACGCCATGCCGCGACTCCTGTTGGTCTGGTGGCTGGCAAGGACCTAGTGCGGTTTGAACTTTAAAGGTTGTCAGAGCAGTCACGCCGCATGCCTTGTGCAGGCTGGCTGAACCGCTTCCTCTGCTCCCGCAGGCGCTCTTAATGTGCGAAGACGATCGAATCCACGATGCCAGTGTTGCAGTGAAATCTGTCCGTAACCAGGAGCTCTACTGCCGGAATGCCTCCTTTCGAATGGCCATGCCGGACCGGTGCTTGTTAGGGCAGCTTTTCAACTAGAGTACATCCCTGACGTGCATGCAGGACACCAGCAAGGGTGGCGTGGTTCAGGCCATCTGCAGCTGGTAGTCTGCTCTTTCTGTTCATCTTGCTGGGTAGGGTAGGGTAGGGTAGGAATCCGCCATAATCCGCCTCGAGGCGGACATTCCCTGCGACAGCAGAGCCTTTGGCCGCAGGGCGACATGCTGCGAAGCGGAGGTGCAAGCTCTAAAGAAAACCGCATCTGGCAAGTCTGCCCTCTGTTGCCCTCACGCACTCTTTCTGTCACCCTCTCCCTCTCCCTCTCCCTTTCCCTCTCTCTCACTCCACTCTCTCTCACTCTCTCTTTCTCTCTCCCTTCCTCCCTCCTCCCTCTCCCTTCGTTCCTGTCAGGAGGTCACTGCAGTGATGGATCACATCGAGCACCTTCGCGGCATTGTGTCGAGGGCTGCAAGTGTCTTGCAACTGGCCAGCTGCGTCCCAGGCACAGCATCAGCTTCGGGATGCGCCACCTGACTGACCGGCAAGAGCCAGGCACCTCAGCAAACGAGAGACGCCTCAGACCAGGTGTTCTTGGGCAGGAATATTTGCAGTATTCCACTTGCTGCAAGATCTGACTATGGGACACTTTCGCTGCATATGCTGGAGAGAATTTCTGGCCGGGGCATATTCAAGACAGAGTCAAGCGATTGTGATCAACCTGTTGTCGACGTAGAGTCAGCAAGTTGCAAAGCCTAACTAAGTACGTACCGTCAAAGTTTTCAACGCAGGCGCGGCCAAACTGTGTATGCAAGCCATGCCTCATGATAAAACCCTGCAAGTCTCCGGATCCCACAGGCCGAGCTGCAACAGAAAACAAATCTGCGGAAAGCCTCCCCCGACGCCTCTTGAGTCCACGAACTGTTTCCCTTAGGTTCTTGGACCAGTACTCGGCTGCCTCCTTGCAAAAACATCCATGCGGTGATGCCCCAGAGGCTGCGACTGTGCGAGCATGCGCTTTCTGAATGGCTGCGATACTCTTGTGATGTCGGTTTTCATGCAGACGGGGTTGTCGGCAAAGACTTTGTTTCTGGGTTTTTTGTGGGACATGGGCGAGGCCCTGCGGGCTGAGTCCGGATTCTGCTTTCCGTGAGGCTATGCTGGCAGTGCGGCTGAAGAAGCTGGCAGAGTGCCAGCAACTCTCACAGGCCCAGGGAAGGATGGGAAAGGAAAGGAAAGACAAATGCTCTGTGATCACGCATTTTGACGTCCGTCGCCGCCAATACTTGATTATCGGGATGCCGACGACTTAGGGATCCGAAATATCTGAAAATTAGCTGACCACAAAGGCAGTCATAATGAGTTTCAGGAGTTGCACGCAGGTTTCTTTTGGCCTTTCTTGGGGTGCGAGCTCCGGGAGATCACGTTTGGGGGGTGAGCATTGCTACGAAAGACTGGAGACTCGAACTCGAACCTGCTCCGGCTGCCAAAGCTCTTTCAGGCATCTGAGACCCCTGCGGCTCGTTTGGGAGCTTGGTGGCTGATACGAGTACCAAGTAAGACAACTCACAGGCACAACAGGGAGACACGAGCGACAAAGCCAGTTGAAAGGATGACCATCACTTGTTGGAAAGGCATGGGCCAATTTGGAAGACGCTACTGCCACCCTTTGTCAACTTCGCAGAATTGAATGTCAGTCAAACATTTGGGGTGCAGTTTGCGTCGAGGATCTTCGAGCAGCACCACCCTCTTGGAAACTCATACGAAGTGAACCAGTGAAACGACAGCATTCCAATGCTGCAGCCACAAGACCATGTGGAAGGGCAAACCTTCGCCTCTAGGGGCTCCCGCCCAAGATTACGAAGCGTGCACCGCAGGAAGTCTTGCAGTTGCTCCAGGGGACAGTCAGGCCGGGCCCCATGACGAGTTCTTTGAAGCCTTTGATCTTCAACGTGTATGCGAGTCGCCGAAAGAGTTCTTTGTTGCTTCGGTGTTTCTTATTTGCGTCGGACCACTTTTTGGTGGGAGCTCCTGAAGGCCCGGCGATCCGTACTCGTGACTGTTCCCCCTAGGCTGGCACCCAGGCACCCACCATCCCAAACTACATCGTCCATCTCGGCGTCCTCTGCTTCAGTCAGTTTTGTCTTGGCTTCCACCGTTGCAACTAGAACGCACTGCCTGTACACATAGAAAGGGAAACTACGAAACTCTCCGAAAGAAAAGTTGCACCAAGTCCTGTGAAGAGACTCTGCACGCCAGTCATCTCCTTTGTGCTGCATGCCGCGGCAGCGCCGAAGGTGGACTGGGATCAAATGGTTGGGAAAACTGGTGGGCATGTATTCCTATGGGCCTACGGATGTAGGGTTTACAAGATCAGACTCATCATGGTCTTCTGTCGCAAGATGCTACTGCATGCAAATCATTTCTTGCCCAGGTGAGAGTGCCGAAGGGCTGCTGGTTGATGCCGAGGTGGACGGTGTTGGAAAGATGCGTATTGTTGGGCAAGTCCAGGCCGTGCAATAGCGTTTTTGACCTGTATTGGGAGTTCAGAGGCCAGAGGCTACAGGAGAAGATATATACAGCTGGGCGTGGGATTGGCACATGACTCCCAATTTGCTGGCATTCGAACGTCCGATGCACCTTGCTTTGGCTGGCAGGCGGCCATATCGGACGAGTGGCGTCGCCTGTCTGCTTCCATGCAGAAGATCTACCAGGCCGGAAATAAGCACGTTTTCAGATCGGTTCGGTCGTGCGTGTCTGGATTGGAGCATGGATTCCTGCATGATACGTCGGAATGGTGTCATTGCAACGCGGCAACAGAAGCTTAAACCCGGAGACCCAAACTCTCAACTGAAAGGATCTGAAAGGCCTCTGCGCATGGCACGCACGCATCTGCAAATAAATAACACATACATGTCCAAAAGCCACATAGGATGGATAGATTGCATGTGCAACAAGGACATCATAGGCATCTGTCTGCGTCCACGAGGAGCTGCGTGCCCACGATGCAGCTGTGGCCGGGCAGATGCGGCAGGTAGAATGGCCCGAGAGCAACTCGAGATCTCATTTGAAGCCGCAGGGCCGGTTGGCCTCGGCATGTCACTAGACCAGACCTCGGGTATGCTGTGTGGCTATGGCACTCTTCGGTTCAGATTGTCCCAAACATGTCGAAGAGTCGGGTTAGGGCAGAAAAGTTCCCAATTTGAGACTGGACGTCGGTGGCGCTCCTTCGACTCGAGTCCTTTTCTTCCTCGGCATCCGGAGTCGACCGTCTTATGTTTGCGTGCAGGTTGGCGTTGAGGCGTGCGTCATGGACTTCATAGAGGTGCCAAGCTCAAGACAATGCGGAAGTCAAGGATGCTCTATAGGGGACAACCCAAGGACCGAACATAAGCTCCAGCTATCGAGGCTCAGCGACGGGGCATCCCCTCCCCAACAACGCCGGAGAGCCCGGTTGCAAACGTGGACAACTTTTAGGGGCAGGGTTGGACGAATCTTGGCAACGTTTCTTGTTGGGGGTTTGGGCCTTGGCATTGAAGCTTAGCATTGCTTTGCATTACTTTGCGCATTGCTTTGCATTGCCTTGCTCTAATGGCTCTGGGATGTCCTGGGCTTGGATCGAGGCATCGGGTCAGCATGCGGCCCTGGCATCGGCAAGACCGGGTTGGAGGATCGCAGCCGGACTAAAGTTGGTTGAAGGCTAAAAGGGTGGGTGCATCACTTGAATGCTGAAGCAAGTGCCGGACAAGCCATTTGATTTACTTGAACCCGTAATCCGGGATCCATGCAACTGCTGCAGGCTTTCGGGACACCTGGCAGCGATACATTGACGGGCTGCTGGTTTGAGCCTCGTTAGCCCGAGAGGCAAAAGCGTCGCGGGCAGGTCAAGTCCAGCAAGAGCACCAAGAGCGGTCTGCATTGGCTTGAGATGGTCCGTGTCCGCCTTCCGCGTAGTCACCCACATCAGTTCTCCATCAGTTCTCCCCGGGCGTTCTACCGCAAACCCAAATCCCTAAACCCTAAACCCAATAGGGCATGCTCTTCCAGCACACTGCCCGAGGCCGTCTCAACAGAGCTCGTGCCTGAAAAGGAGAGAAGGCTCTCGGTGTCAATGGGTTGAGGTTTTCAGCTCTTGGCTGAGGTTGGCGGAGGCCATCATGTCCGAAGCAGGAGCCTTGGAAGTCCTGCAATGGAGATACTCTAGGTACTATGGTGCATAGGGCGGACGCACGGCGGCTTGGGCCTGTGCCTGTGTCTAGGTCTAGGCATCATCAGCGAACGGCACCATATGATGCCTGAGGTGACGGGCTTGATGCTTACATACCAGCACGCCCCCACCTCGGCCTCAATAGATCGCAGGACAGACTGGCTTTCGAATTCCACCCGATTCCCATGGGCAGCATCTTGGCCATTGCAGACTCTCTCATATTTCAGATGAGGCGCTGCAGCCTGAAAGCCCAGCGCAGTTCCTGCTGTGCGCCCCCGTCTCAGCAGAGGAGTTGCCTAGTTTGGACAGCAGCGGCAGCTTCGTTCCACAAACCAAGGGCCCACCTGCAGGAATGCAGTCTGTGCTACCGGCGCGGTTGCCACCCAGCCAACGACCCAGTGTGGTCCTCCTCCTTCTGGATGCCTTTCTCTGTTTTTCTTGCAAACTTTCCTGCGGCACCTGCACACCAAAGGTGCTTTGCCTGATGAGGAGCAGCCCGAGGCGGGCAGTTAAAGCGAGCGTCACACACACACAGTCATGGAGAGAGAGAGAGAGAGAGAGCGAGCTTCGCTTTGCTGGCACGGGTCCCCTTTAGCCATGGCTCCCCTTCAGTCTGAGGTGACTCTCCTCGTGGCAATGCCGAACCCAGGCACAAATCTGCGCTGCCAGCTTACAAGAACTCCATGTAAAGGGTAAGCGCCGCATGGATTCGCGTACAGCGCTGGCATAGTCCTACTTACAATGACAAGCTCTTTTGACTTAGTCAGTCTACTTAGTCCCCTAGAAAACCTTTGAAGATTCCCATCGAACTACCCCTACTTACTAAGTTAAAGGGCTTTCAAGTATGGTCACATTTGTCCCAAGGCTTTGATTTCGCCAACGATAAGGCGACTTTAAGTCTTGCGCTCAGAGGAAGTCAAAAAAGTGTGTAAACACAATGCATGCATGCTCGGCGGGGAGCTCCTCCTTTGCAGGTAAGGATGCTTTGCTGAAGCACGCTCGGCGCTTGGGAAAGTCCTAGTTTTCTGAGCTTCACAGGGCGCCTTGGATGCTTGAGGTCTCGGCACTGAACCCGCTCCTGGACAAGATGGCGCAAGGCCCAGGGAAATGACCTGGCGCCGGCCGATGAGAGATGATCCTGTCCAGGTGAGTCCGTGAAGATCGTCCAGGGCTTAGGTGAGACACTGGTTCTTCCAACTCCGGGTCGCCTTCTGGATACCAGTCTGCATAGGCCTCCTAAATTCCTAAATGCTTGTAGGTGAGTGGCCGATGTTTTTAACTCCCCCCCTGCATGACGAAAAGCTTGGCTCCAGCACACGAGCCGAGGTCATTGTCACAGCCAATCCAGACCAGGCTCCAGCTGAGGGTTTCCAAGGGTCTCATGAGTTGTATAGGGTTCGACAGGGCTTTATAGGTTTTATAGGGTTTTATAGGTTTTATTATAGGGTTTTATAGTTTTTATAGGTTTTATGGGTTTTATAGGTTTGATAGGTTTTACAGTTTTTATGGGTTAGATAGGGCTCTTGAGGGTTGAGAGGGTTCACAGGGTTTGCAGGGTTTCTAGGGTTAGGGTTCATCGGGCTCACAGGGTCCATAAGGTGCATTTCGTCCTTTGTAGGGTTTAGGGTGGGTGGCTTTTTCCACTGATTGCTGGTGGGCCGAAACGACATGTGTCTTTGCGTGAACGCACATGTTCAGAACTGGCCAGGTGAACCTGGTTGCAGTCAGATAGATCAGACAGATCGTCCTGCAGCCAACACATGTTGCTGCAGGAATACCGACAAAACGATGTTCGAGTGAGTAGCAGGACGAGGTCCTGCCAGACTTAGAGGGCGTGATGGGGTGTTTGAACCCAGGCGTCATACCTCTCCCGACTCGTCGCTGGCCACGATCGGGCTCCAACCTTATTACAATTTGAATTTGAAGCAGCTTGAGTCGTTGCGTTGTTGCTTAGCTGTCAGGGCCCCCCCACAGGGAAGCCAATGAAAGGAGATTTCTACAACAGTGGGCAGGAACACCCGGTATTGGGAAAGATGACTTTATCCAGGCCGTAGCCTAGAAGCAGCACGGTTGTGAGGGCTGGAGAGGGGAGTTTCCGCACAAAGCGCGTGCTGAAAGGAGGATTTCAGAAGGGTGGAGGGACAGGGATACATGGAGGGGACTGGCTTCAACGCCTCAGCATGTTCGGAAGTAGCGGTTGCCAAAGTTTTTCTGGTATGGGGAGTCACGCAGAAGCATTCGCAGACGTACAAGAGTTGGTGACCCAATAGACTTCCGGTTGGACGCTGTGCGAGATGTAGCCACTCAGTCCACTGGGAAGAGCCCCCGTAATACCACCAGTCTGCTGGAAGCAGCTCGAAGGTGCGCCTCATTTGGCGTCGTTTTGCCCTCTTTAATGCGGAGGAGCTTGCGTTGTTCTATGCCGGGAGGCATCATGACAAAGACACTTGAGTTCGAATGATCCCAGTCAGGTTGAGGTTTTCTCAGGCAGGCTGGCCAACCCCAGTCGCAACTTCATGCAGGGCCAACCTTCAGAATTTGTGGGGCAGCATGTTTCGTTCTTGGCAACATCCGATTCCCCCTTTGACCAGGGCTGCAAACGATGGGCCCAGGGCCGGACGCCCAAAAGCCTGACGAAGAGCATTTTGAGCGTGTTGAGGGTCGATTCAAAGTTGTTCTCCAAGCACCAGGGATATCCCAAACCATCGATTCTGGGTACTCTGTGTTCAACTGTATTCCTATTGCAGTTCGCAGCAGCCTGCGCACCCCATGTTAAAAGACTGCCAGAAATGCTTCCCCCTTCGAGGAGTGTATCTGCTGCGCCTTAGGTTGGCTCGGATATTTGTGTCAGAGGATGTGAGAACAATCCTACAGTTTTGCAGCATGCGTTTGGACTCGAAAGCTCACCGCTAAAGGTAGCAAGCTACATACTAGCTACGCCGGCCTTTCACGTCCAGTTTCCAGCCGGATCTAGCCGGTTGCAGTTGGCAAGCGGTGCCAAAATGATCGCGCCCGAGGACCCTGATGAAACAAACCACGGGTCTTCCACCGCGTTGATCCTGACCTTCACTTTCTTCATGCTAGGTGCTTGCCTCATGTGCCTTGGAATCAATCTCGTTCCAGCAGTGGTGATTCTGGTGACGATGCTTGGTCTCGGCATTCTTCTTTGCCTATGCCGAGTTTGCACGAAACGCCCGAACCATGACAACCATGATCCTACGCTGACTGCGCCACGACACAAGCAGGTATGGGCCTCTTTAACACTGGCCGAAATGGAATCTGCCTCGGTTGATTTCCGTCTTGTTCAGTTTGGGCGATCCCCGAGCAGTTCCCCACGTGTCGCGAGAAATGTGCTTGGCAGAGTGTCAGTGCCTGCAGCGGTGGCGCGACGTGGTGACCAGCCTGCATGCGCTTGCTGTATGGACGACTTTGTTTCAGAAGAAGCATTGGCCATGCTACCGTGCGGACATGTCTTTCACGAGGAGTGCATCATGCAGTGGTTCCTCACTGATCTATCTGACGGGGTCTGCCCAATGTGTCGTGCACGTGTACTGATTCATGCCCACCGCGTGTGAGGCCGATTGGTTCGCCATTTCGTGTACAGCCCCAGGGCGGACAAGTCAACAAGTGCTGCCCTGAGATGCCTTGAGAAATCCAAAAATCATCCAAACTTCGGAGAACACGGAAGCCTCACTATGCGCTGGGCATTCTTTACGAGTTGGGCAGGTGTAGGCAAATTTGATGATCTTGAGCCGTGTTCTCTAAGCGGTTCCACACACCTGCGGCTGTCCACGCAGTGGCATTATTAACGAAAGCTGCATGGCTGGAGGAACATTCCAAGGTGCAGCCAGGCACCTAAGACGTTGTGTTTAACGGCGTCTCGAATTCCGCCTCCTTGGGCAATGTAAATCTTTCTCGTTAGAGGCAGTGGCGGGCATTCTTCAGAAGAACGGTCGCTTGCTATCGTCGTTGTGCAGATGCAAACATCCTATGCAGTGCAAGTTGTATGTCTATGTTAGACTCGCTGTATGAACATCTGCAGCGCCTATGTAACGAGACTGAGAGGTACTAGATTTCTCGTGAGTCGAAGGCTCGCATTCACGAGTGTTCTGTCAGCTGCAAAAGAGCGCTGAAGACGTTCTCTCGATGTGATACGTATCCAAGTCCTGACAGTGCCAATCTTCGGCAGGAGAGGGTTGAAGGGCTTGATTTGGCAAGCCCTCTGATTTTGTCAGTCTTGGCCATTCACTCAAAAAGTGTGTGGGCATGCCCCCGCCAGATCTTTGTCAATTTTTTGGGGGTATTGAAATCAGTGCTTTGCGCTGAGGCATCCTAGGGCCCTAGTGCTCTGAAAGTGCTTTGTACATCTCGCTCTGCTGGGCGTCGCTGGCCATTTCCCGGACAATAGGGCCCCGCCTCCATCGTTTCGCGTTGTCATGACTCGATGCTGTCGTTGAGAAAGCGGCTGCCCACAGCTTTTGAGCTTGATGATCGGGCAGGGCTGTCCAACCAGACGGTCCAATATGTTGGCCAGCCATGAGATTTTCACAACATGCTGGAGGCGAACTCGCGACCATGCCGTAGAAATGCCGTGGAGTTGTTTGTTTGCGCTCCTTCATTGCACTTGCCGCTCGTCTGTGTCGCTTTGAGGCCTTGCTGTCATCTTTGCCTTGCCCTCTCAGCTTCATTCGCCCTAAACACCTAAACCCTAAACCGTAAACCCTTAACCCTAAACCCTAAACCCTAAGCCCTGTCATCTGTCCTCTTGTGCGAGACTCTGGTATGATTGGGCCAAGGTGCTTTTGATGCGCGGGGTTGGCTTGTGCTGGCTTGTGCATTGTGGGACTGCGCAACTTGCCTTGTAGGTGCCCGTCAAGTCTAGGACTGCTTTCATTTTTCAGAATGCTGCCTTCGGCTTGAATGAGATGTGGGGGGGAGGAAGGGAGAGAGACCAGCGCATGTGAAGGGATTTCAGAGAAGACTACACAGACTGCTGGCAGCAACCACGTGACAGGGCAGTCATAGTATCAGAGTGTCATAAAGTTCACGCATAGAGCAGCTCACATCCGAAAGCACCTTGGACCTCACAGGGTCATTAGTCAGCTGGGCCAAACATGGCATCCGATCCAGAAAGGCGCCTTGCCACGGGCCTCTTGTGTTGTTTGACTTGCGGTTGGGTCGTGATCTGCATCACCATCGTCGTCATGAACCTGGCCATTCCAGGGCTCCCATTCTTGCAAGAGATCCTAGTGACGATGGTGAGTCTAACGTGCTTTCTATGCCTGTCCTGCCGCATGCTGACTCTCACTGTGGAAGAGCCGGGCATCCAGCATGTTCACAGCTGTCGCCCTCCTCGCAGGGAGGTGTGGTCTTCCATGAAGTTCCTGGACTTCCAAGCAGCAACTGAAGCTGATACAGCTGCAGCTCCACCTGGATTCCATTTGATTCAGTTTAGCGAGCCCTCCAATCCATCACACAGCCCAGTGAAGAGCGTGCTCAGGAAGGTATTTATACCAGCGAAACCTCGCATGGCTCTGCAGCCAACCTGCGCCTGCTGTTTGGACGACTTCTCGGCGAACGACTTGGTAGCCTTGTTGCCATGCGGACATATCTTCCACGAGGAGTGTGTCATGAAGTGGTTTCTAACTCAAGCATCCGCCGCCGCCTGTCCCATGTGTAGAGCGTGCTGCACGCCACGTGCACAGGGGCCATAACCAGATGTTCGATCTCCGAACCTCGACTACAAGTACGGCAACTTGACGAGCAATCGCTGCAATGTTTTGAAGAGCTGGCCACCTTGTGAGCGCCTGAGGCTCCAACCACTCCAACCTGGCTTAAAGTGTGTTTTTTTGAAGATTGCTTAGCCGGGTCAAGTATGGGGCACAACAGCTTACAGCTAGCTAGTTCCTGCAAGTCCTTGTCTATCTGCAGATGTAGATCGTGTACTCTGCACGGTGGCATATCTGATGTGTCCCCGGCGCGTCAGTCTTCTGCTTTCATGAGGCTGAAATGACAGCATGTAAATAAATATCAGGAGAGATCTGCATCTTGTGCCGGGATGTTTCGGTTCATGGCACTGTACTGTGCACCCGGTTCATCTGCACACAGCAGTTGTGTTGGAGACAACGAGTGCCCCTGTACAAAGCCAGAGGTCGGCCCAAGACGCGCTCGATGCACTCGGTTTCGTGTTTCAGTGACCCAGTGGCTCAACTAGGAGAACTGGAGGTTCAAAAAGCCTCAATAGCGAAAGTGAAGCTTTCCCTGATGGCTCCTGAAGGGCTCATACAGCCACACACAGCCACACAGCCTCAGCAAGCACCAGGCCCCGCCTGGCACACCTAGCAAAGAACAAGCATCCCAGTTCCTGGTTGGGCTGTCCACTTTCAACGATTTTGACTTGTGTGCGGTTCTCCTGCCGAGGGCTCGCGGGAAGCTTCCAGATCGTGCTTTTAAAGAGCTTTCTCTAAGCTTGTGTTCAGCATCGTGAGCCGATGGCAGGGAGCCATTCCCAAGCCCCGAAGCGATGGGCGTACTCAGAGGGTCAGGCGTGCTGACAGCCAAGAAGCTGAGATCGGCATCCTGACATTTGGACCATGCAATTCCCTAAGGTGGCAGAGAGCGAAAAACTTGGCTTTCCCGGGCATCTAGAGGCATACGATGCCGGATACCGTAGTTGCTCAGGTAGCTTACAGCCCCTCCTGACCTTCGCCGGCTTAAGGTGGTGGCTGCCTTCCAGGTCCCCAGTGGTGGGGACGCGGCTGCGCTGCAGGGTTCTGCCGTGCCAGCAGGTCTTAAGAATAAGTCACAGCGGCGTTTTTTGGGTTCTGTAGATGAGCTCTCGGGAGCTGCTCGCAATAGATGCCCTTCTTTTGGGCTGTGGGATTCGAAGATTTCAGCTAGCTACCAAGAACATCGTTTACACGATCAAGTCGACAGGAGCATTGTGGAAGGGCTCGAGGGTGCGCTCTGTTTCGTTCTCCAGTCCGTGCTGTACTTCTGGCCTCTTCGTTTCCCTTTCCGACGCCGTCTGGCACCGCTGGGGTGGTCCAGCGCTGCCTTTCGTGGTCGAAGTCGAGCTCCCTTTTTGTTTCCATGGTTCCGCATTTTGTTCGTTCGTTGCAGACCGCAGAAAGATGAGAGTTGCACCGACGGAGACATTGTCCAGCACGGGGCAACTGTTCATGACATGTTGGAAAATGGCGTGGCGCGCACCGCGATGGATGCTCGAAACTCCGAGGGGGGGAGGCAGCAAGGCCTGCAAACAGCTAATTGTGGCCTTGGCTTGAAAGGACTCATGCATGTGGGCTTTGAGATGCATGCACCTCCAAACGAATCCGAGAACAAGTCTGGAGAAGGGAAGTGATGAGGTTTAATCAGCCTCGTAGAAGTTTAGTTCATGGTTTTCGTTCTTTGAGGCTTCAGGGCTTGTCCGCGGGTCACCAGCCTTTCCGTAGGTTCAGGTCTTTGGGGACGGGGCATGACGAGGCTAAAAGTGTGGGTGTCTTTGTCGGGTTATGACTTCCCGAGGTCCTCAAAGTTCTTCTCGTCATGCCAGGCTTCGTTGATGTCGAAGCTCATTGGCAGTCCATCTTTAAAGGTTGCGCGGCCCTCGGTCCCGCTGGGCTTCCTCGCATGATGTAGACAGCTGTACTGTATTCTGGCAGAGACTCTTTCAATGCGCCGTAGGAGTGAGTCCTAAGCTTCAGACAGCATAGCAAGGCCGCTTTGAGCTGGAACTGGAATCCACAGAAAGGTCTGGCCGCCCTTCTTGCGCCCTGCTCATCCATCTTCTTGGCCGAGTCAGGCCTGGCCTATGTGCGGAAGTTATTTTCAGCAAAATAGGGACGGCGACATAACAAGGCTAGGCATCGCAAAGTGCTGACCTACGACAAAAACCCAAAGCTCACCTCATGCCATGCCGCAATTGGCCGGATTAGGGTAAAGCATACAATGCGATAAGCATTCGGATGCCCATTTCTGAAGTCGAGGCGCCTGATGCTATGCTAATCACCCAGCCCGCTATCGGTGTAACTAACGTCACATTTCATTCGATTATTATGTCATGACATGTTCCTGGATTGGGAATCTGAAAGCCGACGCGGTAAGCTGTGGGGAGTACTTTCGGAAATAGCCTGTTCTAGGATCGCACTCGATGCAGATGTTTAGCACAGCCAGAAATAAATACGTAACAAGAATAAAACATGACGCGCGCGGCACGCGGCACATAGCTCATTGCTCTCCTTTCAAGAGGTGCGTGCTGCTGCCGGGCGTGGCTTCGGACTGGCCCTGCGAGAGTCACCGGAAACCGCGTCGGGCGCACTGGGGAACTTTGGGCGGGGCTGCACGTAATGCTGCCCCCATAGGCCGATTATCTCCAAGCATAGCTCAGGCCTTGCCCTCAGCTGGTAGCGGTCCTGAAGGACTGCAGAAGAGCCTCTCCTGTGCGATCTTGACTTGCTGGAGTGTCTAAGCCTCTATGCCGCCGTCACAGCAGAGGACTACCTGGACTTCCACCGAGCAGCCAGGAAGACACTCCTGGAGCAAGCGACCTTGGGCACGGGAGGCCAAACTTGGGCGAACGGAAGGAGAGAGGCAACGCTCGAAACCCCCTTAAAAGACTTGACAGGTAAGGCTTTATGAATGTGTACTTGAGGGTGAAGATACTACTAAATCCTAGAGTCAAAAGAGCTTCAAACAAGAGCTGGAGATCCTTCATGAAGCCAGGATTGTTACCTTCACGCTGTGCTCTTCTTATTACCGAGGGTTTCTATCTCTCGACAAAGAACCCGGAAAAAAACAGAAGTGAACGAGTGTACGAAGACACGAACTTTCCTGCCGCGTGGTTCTTGGTTTTGGCGCTCACTTGTTGCCCGCGCTCGCTGGCAAACCAAATTAATATTGTATAATATTGGCCTCTTGAAAACCAGTTGCGAAGCCTCTGAGAGCCTCTTTTTCAGGGCCCCTGCCTCGGCTGCTGATTTACCGCTGCTCGGCCATGGGCTTCTGTGGTGGTCACGGCCAGGGGCTCAACATCTCAGGAATGTGAAGAGAAGGTCCGACATCCGTGGTACCTACTTTAGAACGCGCTGCGACCCGCCTCGGTGGGCAGCGTGGAGCAATGGAGGTCCATATGGAGGTTTGGGCGGCGCTATTCAGAGAGGTCCATACAGAGGTTGCGCGTAGTTGCTTCGGAGCGCTTGTTCCCTGAAGCTGCCCTGTGGTCCCTGCGCACCCTGTCATGGTCAAGGGACCGGGGCCTGGTAGGAGGATCAGGTGGTGCCTGAGACACTACCCGAGCTCCTATGGGGCGGATTTTGTGCACATCAGGCTGCTTTTCGGTTTCCGGTAGTGAGGCTAGCCTACACACGTGCTGCATGGGAGCGCGACTTTGCGCACTTGGGTAGGCTTCGCGACTTCGCGACGTCGCGGAGCGTTGCGGCGGGAGCATCAGTAGATGGAACTGCATTATTGAATCCCTGCATAAATGGTGCAACTTGTGCAACCAATCCACATGTGCAGGCAAGTTGCAAGCGAGAAAGAAGTGGAACATCAATTGAAGTTTTCGCAGAAAGTATGAGGCTTTTCAACACGGCAGCCAGTTCAGCAAGTTCGTTACTCCAGCTACTTCCAAGCCTCTCATTTGGGCGGGGGCTGCTCAGGCGATCGCCTGAATGGCCTTCTGGGGGTCTTTCTGATGGCGGTGGGCGCCCGAGACTGGGATGAAGAGTTGAGCCCTCGATATCCCGATTTGTCGGTGATTTGCAGTTCAGTCAGCATCGGGTGCACTCCGCAGTCCTGGTTCACCACAAAGAAGAAAGCCTCCCGTCAAAAAATAGGTTGCACTCCACCCGCAGAAGTGCACTTCCAGTGCAGCTGCAGATAGCCTCTCGACGAGCCTTCTTCATTGACTCTGCACGCGGGGGCTCCCAGATTCAAGACCACGACCACTCGGCCTCTTAATCTCCGCAGCCCTCTCATGGCCTGTCGCTGTCGATGGCCTTCAAGCGTGACATCACCAAGGGCCCGTTCCTCTCCATCAGCTGCTGCAACCTCGACGTCGCGATCTAAGACCTGATCACATCTCAAGCACCCAGGTGCTATGCACAGCACCCGAGCATCAGCACAAGCTGAATCAAGATGTCGGCAGTACTTATGATGAGAAAGCCTCACAGTATCTCTCCTGAATGGACCGTTGCCGCACTTCTCCACAGCAAACTTCGCAATCGGATGTTTCCTTCTTGCGCCGGGTTGCAAGATGTTGCAAACAAGAAGTAAACTTTGGAGAGTGAGCCATGATTAGAAGGGTTGGCCTCTCAATCTACACCTTTCAATGCCCTTACAGCCTTGCGCGCGGAAAGACTCGTGCAATGCCAGTAGGCCTCAGCAGGCATGAGGGGCAACTCTCGGGCAAGGCCGTGCAAAGTCTTGCGGCTCGATGCTCCAGGATGCAGAGTCTTGAGCCCAGAGCTTCCATGTATTTCATTTCTGTGTCAGATCTCAATGAGCACTGGAGTGTGGGAATGGGGCCGCAGAAGTGCAACATCAGGGGTCTTTCCATCCTGCGATGGCTTCAGGTTTCTCTTGGACTGGCGGCTGCATGGTGCAGTCTCTGCCATTGGTCGCAGGACTGGTCGCACGTTTTGTCTTGCAGAGGCCGTGCGCGCCTTGTCCGCCCTGACAGGACGAACTACAACGATCGGTACAACGTACTTCCTTGCCTGCTTGTCGGCCTGTGATGGCGAGAGTTGTCAGCGGGTTTAGACCGAAGTGGAGAGTACATCCCTCAGCAGGGTACCTCGGTCTGATGACGACTTTCTAGCGGGCTGCGGGATTTGGAGGACTCCTTTGATCAAGAATTTCAAGAAGCTGCTGCCCATTGCTGCCCCCTTTTGCCAGGATCTTGTAGAGGATCTTCCTTGGATCCTCACACAAGAGCCCGAGAAGGTGGTTGTCATGACTGGCCCCCAGGTTTGGGGACGTAAGAGGCAAAGGACTGAGGCTATGACTCTGCGTGTGCTTTTTTCGTCTCAGGCATACCAATCAGAGGGTTTCGCCGGCGGTGCTGGTGAGCAAGGAGGCACTGACACCGACATAGTGTAAGGAGTGTGAGTGGTGTCCCAATGCTCGGAGCAACTCACACATGACTTCCAACATCAGACACTGGGCAACCTTAGCCCGGTCAGTGGTGGGTTACAGGACGGCTACTCCAGGTCCAGGATCTGATTTCAGAACTGTTGAAGCCTTTATCCTGACAAACTCAGTTCGTGCTGCAAGTCTACGTGCTTTGGGTTGCTTCAGAGATGCTGCAAGGAATGTGAAAACCGGCCAACGAATTGCATTGAAGGCTCAGTCGCTGATGGGACCCCTAGCTACCCAGCTGTTGAAGATGTCGGCTGCCCAGCTTCAAGGTCCTTACCCGCCCTGACGGCTGACCCCAAACTCTGGACGTGAAGCAAATGATGCAATCGAAGAATAGGTGGCCCGGCTGCGCAACTGATCAGGGGGAGGGAGGATGGGGCCTACAGAGGCCCTTGTAGTACCGCAAGCTCTCAGGAGGCTCCGAAGAATCAATGGGTTGATAGAAACCCGCCTATGCGTCGGCAGTCTACGAAAGTCATCGAGTTCTGTTTTGCTCCAAATGCTCCGAGGCCTTATCTCCATGCAGCACTTCTCGAGCTTCTCTTCGAGCCTTCGCAGCTGCTTGCTGCGCGGCATGCCGAGGCGAGTTAAGGGCCCTGCCCTGACAAACAACTCGAAAGGCGAGTGGAAAGTGTCTCCAGAACTCTTCAGTCAGGCAGTCTCACGTTTCTTGACATCAGCAACTGAGGGGCGCATCCACCGACCGTTGCTGACCCTTCCTACTTCTTAGCCATCCTACAAGCTGCCCTGCCCATGGATGCAGGTGCTCGAGGCGGGCCTGGTGGGCTTGGGAGACGTTTGGCACGCCCGGACGAAGTTTGCGTCAATTTAGGTGTCGGAGGTCGGTTCGGGTAGCTTTCGAGTTCCCCACCTCTTGTAGCCCAACAGACCCTGCCAAGCGTTGCAAAAGAGGACCCCCCAAAATGAAGCATGGTTCGCTCAGCTCGAAGATTTACATGGACCTGCCCCTCCCGCAAAAGTGGGTTCAGGGTGGCTCCAGGCTGCCAAGCTGGGGCGCCCGCGGCTCATCGCGGTGCACTTTCGGGCTGGCGACCAGTCACCCAACAGGAGCGGCGGCAGAATTTCAGGTTGAAGTGCAGAGGGTCAAGGCGAGATTCATGCATGAGGACAGGAAGAAGACAAAATTAGTTAAGTTCATGATTTCAGATGTCTGCGACCTCAATTGCCCACACACGCCGGTGCGCTAAATACATGCTGCTGCAAATGGTGCCGAGAGCGTTGTTGAATGACCTTGGCAGTACACATGAACGCATGACCACGTGCAATCAGGTGGTCAGTCGATGCCCCGGAGTGTCAATCTCTTGTGGGGCTTTGCATATGCTGCAGGAGTTTGGAGAGTGTACCTATATTGATGTACATGGCTGAATCACTGCAAAGGAGTTTGTGAGGCAAGTTCCAGAAACAGTTAAAATGCGAATGAGTAAGTGTTCACGGCCGCTCAGAGTGGCCCATTTGCGCATGACCTTCCCAAGGCCTTAAGCCTTAGGCCTTAGGCGCTGTCCTACGCTGGTCCGTTCAGCGCGCCCTGAGCCTGAGGATCCTCCCCGGCATGGCCTCAGCGACTTGGAGGGGTTCCTGGGATGCGCGCAGGTGCCTTTGTCGGATTGGGAGAGGGAGGGCATGAAACCATTGAAACCGTATTCCCTCTTGTTTGTAGTGTTGGCCTGAGGCCCTCAAAACGTTAACACACGTGCTCCACCATGGTGTCTCTTTACTCGCAAGGGCCTGGAAAGGCATCAGCGGTGGAAGGACGCTCGAGAATCTCGCAACGGCAGGGTTCAGGGGTCAGCGTCGGGGAGGTTTCGGGCTACATCTGTTCAAATGGATATACGCAGAACTTGCCAAGAAGGTCCGTAAGCCAAGGTTGTTGGCAGACAATGCGGCGTAAAGATCCTCAAAGCAAGCCTCGCATTCGAAGGACGAGGAAGTGGCCTGGTACCTTGCTGCCGACACTGCAGAGGCTCGGAAGTTTGGGTGGACTCCTCCGGTCAGGGAACTTCGCTTCGCCAGGTGAGCTCCTCGCCTCTGACGCGGCCTTAGCACAGGCTTACAAGCGGTCGCTGCAGGTCACTACATTCACCCTGCCTCACCTTGCGATTCTTTCCTCTTGTGAAACTAGCCGGGCGACCCCTTCAGGATCGCCGAGCTGACGAAGCGCAACAAGCTGCGGGCTGAACATTTTTTGTTATGAGAGCTTTCGGAGGCGTAGATATGCGTGCCCACGCAATGCCACACACATTCTCTGATCCAGTCGAGGCTTGCCTTCTTGCCTGGTCAAGGTGACGCTTCCATTGCAAGGGCCTCAGCTACAAGGTAGTGACGGTAGTGGCCTTGAGGGGATCCTTGTGACCATGTCGCCCATTTTGCCCTCAGTCCTGGCTTGCTGGCTGTGCAGCGTGCGAACATCCGACTGCCTCCGACCCATCTTTCACGAGGTGCATCTTGATCGAAGTCCGCTTCCTGTTGCCGCCAGCCTGGCCAGTTGCTGCGAAGATGCTTACCCAATGTGGCTTTCAGATCTTTGATGATCTTCGGAAAGGGAGATACGTGACCTTGGCGCATGATTGGCGTGTGCATATGCCGAATCCTTTTCCGGCTTGGCCAGGTTGCCGGGATCACGGACACGTGGGCGTGACTGGCCCGGAAAGAGAGAGTGATCTGTTATGATCTACGAACTCTTTGTTTGTCTGGTTGGGCCCATGTTGCAGGTTTTCGAAAGGGTTCAAGTTCTGAAGTGCTCACGACGCGCCACGCCATATGGCACAGATGGCAGTAGTCCCTCGTGAGTTGGAGTGTAGGTTCGCCTATGAGGTGTTGCACAGGCCACTGACATACGATCAGGAAGAGTATTCGTCAATGCTTTCGAAGCATGCTCTGCAGCAAGGAAGAAAGAACTGTTTGAAGGTTAAGACTGTGCTATGAAGATAGTGCGTTCGCACATGTGTATCTTGCACATCTGATACAATAGAACTGCTTAATAATGTATACGATGTCACCATTCATGGTTTCCCGCACACTGCCTTGTGCCGAGGCAGTGGCTCACCATTGCCTCGGCCGATGGTGTAATTCTCAGCGCCAGCAACTTTGGTTTGACGGCGGCGGAGGCGCGTTGAGCTACCCTCTTAAGAAGGGAAGAGGAAGCCGCCCCAGACCATGAAGATGAGCCGGCCAACCAGTTTCCCAGCCTTCCCAGTTTTGGAATGGGCATTGTCTTGAACGCTGTCAACATTGTAACGGTCAGAAGCTTCTTCTATCAATCCGAGGCCAAAAGCATTTCAGTCCGACTCACTTTTAAAAAGATAAAAAGAAATAAAAGCAGTTCAGAAGTGTTTCCTGCGCAGGCCGGGCGCGTGCCTGTTGCCTTCTTGGGAGCCCACGGATGTTGCTCAGCTTAATCGGTCTTCATCGTATTGAGCCGAGGTCGGTCGACAGTCCCGCCAGCTGAGGTCTTGAATCAGATCTGACGGCAGTCTAATGCCCTTCGGCACGAGGCCGCACAGTGTACGGCTCGGGTTACTTGGGTTGGTTTCTTCAGGACTAGTGTCACGATCCGTGTCGTGCGGAGGGGTGCAGCGTTCCAAGGGCGGCGGGCTAGGGCGCAAGGAAGCTGCTACGCACAGGTTGGGATTCTTTTTTTGGGGGAAAATCGTGGCATAGAGTCTTGCAGTTTGAGGGCAAAAATGAATGTACAGTCAGGGTTGCAGAGCAGATATGATGCATCTATCTATTTCCACAGCTGGTTTCAGCCCTACACAAATGGTCAATTCGATCGACTGATGCTGCCTTTGATGCCTCGTGGAGATTCACCATCCTGACTGAGCCCAGGCGAAGCCTTAGAACAAGAGCTGTAGCCAGTTGCCCGAGATTGTGATAGCCTGTAGCATTGACCCTCGCATCAGTATCGTGGGTTTAGCAGGAAACCAGAACAGACTACATGCGCCCTCTTGCCAGGTCCATAGGACGGTCCCTGCTGGACAGAAAGGCAGGGCAAACCCAACCATATCCCGACCATATTTTGGACCTTGCCCTGTGCCCTCACCCTTATCCTCGACCACTGTGCCTGCCACTTTCCCGGCTTGTGCGCGAAGCCACGAACCCTTTTGTGAAAGTTGCGGCCAGGCAATGCTTCAACTTCTTGCTGGGCGGCCGGAGACTCAGTCGTGCGGGGGAACAAAGCCTGCCATTGATGACCAGCCCTGCAATGCCTGGGCCTGTAGCAGGCCTTCTCCTTCTGTTCCTGCGCTGTCTGCTTCGTTTCTCCACTAAGATCTGCTTCTGATTCGGCTCTTACGTAGGCAACGGGCGTCCACTTGCGTCTGTCAAGCTTTGCAGCACTCTAGCCTTAGCTGGACAATGGAGGGGCAAACGTTGTGTTGATTGTTCCGGTGGCCCCTCGACCAGAAGCGCTGACATCGGCGACAATCCCCTTTCAGTGCATTGCACCATTCTTGCCAGAGCCACGAAACATATTCAGAAGGAGTTCGTGTAGTCCCTTCAGACCCATCAGGCCTTGTCTACATACAATCTTGCCTGTCTGCATAAGCTCTGCTAGTAGGACGGTGTCAGAAGACTTGTACAAATCAGTTTTGCCTCCACCTTCCAGTGCTTGCAAGCATTCGGTTCTCACTTCCAGGAGCTCCTTCGGCCCGAGGTCTTAGCGACCGAAAACGTGCTACGCTGTGTAACTCCAAGCCATCCTTAGGATAGCTTCGCTTCAGCCATAGGCTCCTGACTCTTTTCCTTCAGATCTCAGATCGACTTCGTGCGAGCAGTGCGGAAAACGACTACCACTTCTTGCATCACATTTTTGGCGACAACAGATTCCCTGGAAGCCACATAGAAGAGGAGAGCCCAACACGCTGACCGATACTGGCAGCGGAGCTCGATCCAAGAGCTCGCGGTGGTGACCAGACGAATCTGTTTTGGACGGCTGGGGCTCCCGGTCTTCCCCACTTGCCTGTGAAGGGCAGAGTCTGTCTTCGGCGACATGGAGAAAGACTACGATGCTTCGCTGACTCGGTGCAGTTGGGACGGTGATCCCGCTGGGTGGACGGACTTCGTCAGAAGGGTCCGGCTACTTTATGAGAAGACACCAAGGAAGAAGCGTCGACAATTGGGTCCCTCCATTGTTGCCCAACTTCGCGATAGAGCATGGACAATAACGCAAGACGTCAACCACCAGAAGCTGACTCGCCGTGATGGCTCCGTGTACCTGTTGGAGTTCCTCCGAGATCGTCTCGGACGGTCTCCGATTCCTGATGTCGGAATCAGGCTAGAGGAGCTCATGATCAGGCTCCGTCGAAGCCCCGGCACTGCAATGAGTTCGTGGGCCTCACAGGTCCGCCAGACATACAAGCGGGTGCAGGTGGCTTTGCATCGAGCCCGTAAAGAACATGGACTTCACGTCAGCCAAGAACCTCAGGTTCGTGAAGCCGTCCCTCCTCGGCAACCTTCAGCTCCCTCTTCTCCAAGCAATGCCTCCCGGCGTGATCGAGGATCTCCGACGCGCAGAAGCAGCGAGACAACCCAGGAACCGACAGCAGAGGAAGAGGGGCAGCCCGAAGAGGACGCCTTCGACGCGGAGTATGACGAGACCGAGTTTGAGCTTCGAGATGCTGGCCCTAAGAGGAGCTGGCAGAAAGGACGAAAGAAGAAACCGGATGACGATGACGACGACAGCGACGACAGCGCCCAGATGATGAAGGACTTGGAGGTGTGGGACCGCTATGAGGAAGGCCTGGAGGAAGTGTTGCCAGGAGAAGTCCTTGGCTGGCTGCTTCTTCGTCGTGCCAACCTCCCGACAAGTGCAAGACTCTCCATCCAGGCTGCGGCAGGAAACTCTCTCCTGTTCACCGACATCGAGAGGGCCATGCGGTCTATGGAAGATGAGTTGATGGTGCATGATGAGGCCAAGCGGAACCATCAACCCCGCCGCAGGTCTTTCTGGGTGGAGGAAGAAGGCGAATGGAGCCTCGTGATGGCGCCGGAAGAGGACTTGCAAGAGCTCGTTTCTTCCAGTGAGGTCCACTACGTGGGTTCTCGGCTTCCCCCAGAGGTGTACTACCACCATGAGCCGGAGCCGGCCAGCTACCATGGCGAAACAGGCTTCTGGCATCAGGATGATGATGGTGCATTCTCCTTCTGGGAAATGGCTGAGGACGGCGAGTTCTACACCCAGGACACGACAGGACTTTATTGGGCCTGGCATGATTGGGAGGATTTCAGTGGTGGCACCTCGACGGCTCCTTCCGATGCCACGCGCGACGCTGAAGATGCCTTTTCCCTCCAGGATCCCAAGTCTCGCAACTTCACTCAAGCGAGACAAGCAGTCAAAGCCCGAAACCTCAGTCGGGGTTTTTATCCTTTCAATCCTGGGAGTAAAGGGAAGCCTCGTTTCAAAGGTAAGGGCAAAGGTAAAGGGAAAGGAAAGCCGTCCTTTCCTCGTTCTCCTCCAGCTCCCATCTTGGCAGCGACCTCCGACATCTTTGCTCAGCCTGGAGATCCATCCTTCTCAGGCTGCTTCGTGTGTGGATCGAAGGAACACTCGTGGAGGTCGTGTCCCAAGAGGTCCTCTACTGGCAAGGGCTCCTCCAAAGGCAAGGGCGCCCGCAACTTCATGGCTGAGGGTATCTTCATGGTCTCCCCCGACTCCCCGCGCGAGATCCTCCAACCCGACAAGGGCATCTCCACGATCCGCGACGGGGACAAGCATGAGATCCTTGACACAAGGACCCCAAGCGACATGTGTTTGGATTTTCGGTGGGGTGAACTTCAAGACACTTCATACGTGGTGACTTCACACCAAATTGATGATGCTTTTGCTTCGGGACAAGGGGAGGCTCAGCCCAGGGGACACGCGGTCATTGACTCAGGAGCAACTGAGACCGTCGGCTCGCTCCCTGCTATCGAGGACTTGATGGCAGTTAGATATGAACTAAATGGCGTCCCCGACTCCTTTCAGATATCCTCAACTCCTCCCAGGAGATTTCGATTTGGAAACGGATCGATTGGTTTTTCCTTGTCACAAATGCTCATTCCTCAGGACTTGGGTCCCGTCCGTGTGGATCTAGGAGTGTTTTCTCTGGACGTGGAGAATGTCCCAATCTTGATCGGCATAAAAACTCTCAGGGCTCTGCGCACCGTGCTGGATTGCCATCAGGATGTGGCGGTGTTTGCTGCACTGGACCCCTCCACAGGGGTTAAGCTGCGTAGAAGTCCCTCAGGACATTTGTTGATCGATTTGAGTCGCAATTGGTTGCAGGATTCCTTCTCGATTCTTTCTCCCGCAGCGAGGATTCCTGAGGTGCCTCCCACAACCTTCGAGGCAGAAGAAAACATCGGTGCAGTGTTTGTGCTTGAGCCTTTGCCATCTGATTTCCAAGCTCGAGGGGATACTCATCTTGAATATGAAGCAGCACCTGAATCTCCTTCTTCGTGTCCTGCAGTTCTCTTTCACTCACGAGGGTGTGCCGATAGTGCTCCTGGAGAAGACTCCAGTGGGTGCCTTGAAGATCCCTTTCGAATCCTTCGTGCTCTTGTACGGGGCCATGGCCACTCCGACTGCCGAGAGCAACGGCTTGTCTGCGGCAGCGGTGGAAGCTTCAGTGGCCAAGGCCAAAGCTGCGGTGAAGCCTGCAGCGTCGAAGGCCAAGGGGAAGGGGAAAGGCACCAAGCCCAAAGCAGAGCCTGCCCCCGAGTTGGACTGGAGCAGGATCGAAGAAGCCAATCCCAGGGACGTGCGCTTGAAGGGGCCCCCATGTATGGGATCCCATGTCGTGGCGACAAGGAGCAACCAACATGCCATGTGGCAACTCTGCACCCGGTGCAGCCTCAGGCTCACTTACATCCCCCGGGTTGGCAAGACAGGTCTCCACCGTGCCGCCGGACCCCTCAACCTCGATGTCCAGGAGGTGGTGACCGAGACCAAGGAGGATTTGGCTTTCAACCCTCGCCTGAAGGATCAGGCCATTGCTCTTCAAGCTGCAGAGAACAGCATGGTGCGCCAGCTCGAGAAGATCAGGACGCAGAAGGACAAAGTGATCCCCAAGCAGGGCCCAATGGGAGCAAGCCCTCTGCCACCTTCCTCACCTTCGAGCGCCAACGCCGGAGCTGCGAGCCCAAAGTCGACCGTTGTGGTGAACCTCGAAGAGGCGAGTGCAGAGGGTATGAACCAGACTCCTGGGAGCAAGCGACATCAAGCGATCCCAGCGGAAGAGCAGGAGTATCAGACGAGAACCCAGGGCCCGCAGTGATGCATGTTGTAAAGCAAGGTGTGCGAGAGATTGAAGACCTCGCTCGCCAGATGTGCCACGACCAACTCTTTTCCTTCAAAGATTGTGAACAGCTTCTTTTCCAGTTCATGGCTGTCCGTGAAGCCATCTCTCAGAGCAACCGCAGTACTCTTGAACCGAAAAATGGGACTGGGTACAACGTTTTCGGCCTCTTCTCACATGGGAACATGTCCGGCATCACTCGAAAGAGTCACGAGCTTCCATGGTTGTGCAAGTACGTGAACCTCTTCGGCAAGCACCACCTTGCTCAGGAGGGATCATGTTGGACAAGTTTTGCTGTGAACTTTAATCAGCCCATGAACATCCATCTTGACCCCAACAATGATCCTGGTAGCAGCAACTTCACTTGCTCCTTCGGAGACTTCAAAGGGGGACAATTATGGGTGGAGTTGACTGAAGATAGCGATCCCAGTGTGAGCCCGGTGCGATGGAAGACCAAGCGTAACGGTCAACGAGTACCAGGCCATCTTCACACAACCCAACATCGTTTCATTCAGTTCTCTCCCAAGAGTTTTCATGCGACTGATCGCTGGTCAGGTACCAGAATCTCTTTGACCTTTTACTCCTCTCGGTTGATTGCTCAGAGTACGGAAGCCCGACGAGAATGCCTCAAGAAACTGGGGTTTCCTTTGCCCAGGTCCGTCAGGCCTTTGAAGTACGACGACAACGAGGGCGAGGACGCCTATGCCGTTGATCCAGTTGAGGGACAGGGCGCGGGAGAAGTTCTCTTGTGCCAGGATGTCCGTCACCTTCTACAAGCCTCGTGCGAGGAAGTGTGGGATGAGGTCAACTCACTTCTTGATGTGCATGGCAGGGACCCTCACTGTTTGCAGGTCGTGGAGTTCGGCGGCCCTGCTGACAGTCCTCTGTGCTCTCTTTTGGGACAGCAAGGTGGACAAGGGTTGTCAGCAAATCTCTCACAGGGTTTTGACTTGGGCACTCGAGGTGGATGTCATAGAGCTCACCAGCAACTGGAACAGCGAAGCCCGGCTTTCGCATGGTTCCAACTTCCGAAAGGACCTTGCAGGCAAGGAAGTGACTCAGACAGACGACAGCGTGCCATGGTGAATCGATCCCGCAAGGTGTTGAGGAATGTGATCTCCCTTTCCCAACAACAACTTCGGGGTGGAGAATGTGTCTGGGTCTCAGAAAAGCATTCCAGTGCTTGGCGAGATCGTGACTCATGCCAGTTCTGGCAGACTCTTGCAGAATCCGGAAAGGCCTTCGAGTGGCAGCACGGAGATCTACAAATTCGAACCACGTCAAAGGCGATGTTCCTGGATTGCTCTAGGGTGTCTTCAAAAATGGAGAGTGTAGAGAACCAGTGGGATTACCTGTATCGTGCCTTCTGTGGGTCAGTCATGAACTTTCATGGGGCTAGCTCAGCCTCAGGAGAAGGGAACCCCGTCTATGCCGTGACGGCCCAGAAAGAAGCTCTTGAAGGCGTGGATAAGAAGGAGCTGGAAAGCTTGTTAGACACCGTGCAGAAGCTTCATCGGAGGTTCGGACATCCTTCCAACAGCCTCCTCCTCAAGAACCTTCGAGCCAGAGGTGCATCTCCTAAGCTGTTAGCCGTGGCCGCTGAGTTTAAATGTGACATGTGCATGGAGAACCAGATTCGCACTTCAGCTCCCGCGGTCAGTCTGAAGCGTGAGGACCGCCTCTGGTGCACTCTTCAGATCGACGGTTTCTATATGCGAATTGGCCAGGAAGTGTTCCACTACTTGCTCATGGTCGATGAGGCCTCCGGCTTCTGCGTAGTAGAAGAGATGATAAGGCACCCCGAGAAAGAGATGAGGCACATGACGACCGCCCAGGTATGCCGGACCTTGGAACTTCGCTGGTGCCAGATCTTCGGGTTTCCTGAAACCATCAAGCTCGATCCCGAGGGAGCTTTCAGAGGACTTGATCTGGGAGAATACTGCTCGTCCCGAGGTATCGAGCTCAGTGTCATTCCTGCCGAGTACCACGAAGGGATCTCCGAGGTCGAGCGATCCATTGGGACAATTCGTAGGAAGATTGAGGCCTTCATGCGCCAGGAACAGTATCATCCTACGAGGGCGGCTGCGCAGATGGTGGCTGCACACAATACCATGGCCAGAACCCTGGGTTTTTCTCCAGCCCAATGGGCCTTCGGTAGAGACGTCACCGTGACAGGACATAGCCGTGAACGTCCTGGAGAGGTCTGCGCCCAAAGTGCTATGTCCGATCCTTCCCATGGCATGGCAGAATCCCTTGAGCTACGCACCAGGGCAGAGAAAGCCTTCATCGAAGCTCGAGCTCGAGAAGTGATGTCAAGGGCAATGAATTCCCGAACAAGGCCAGCCAAAAGATTCTTGCCTGGGGACATCATATTCTACCAACGATTCCAGGTTCCGCAGGATGCTCCGGCCAACTCGGTGGTGGACCGTCCCCGGATGGGGATAGCCCGCTTCTATGGACCAGCCCGAGTGTTGGCCACAGAGACTCGTGTGGTCTCAGAAGAAGGGGTCCGAAAGCCTAGTGCCATAGTGTGGGCAGTCTGCAACGGCCGGCTTAAGCGCTTTCATCAGAGTCAGGTCCGACACTCCACCGAGTCTGAGCGCCTCATCGCCGAGGGTGCAGCAGGTGCCGAGTTTCCGTGGACGTTTGCTTCGTTGGCGAGTCTCCTTGATCGTGGTTCCTTTGACGATGAAACCATCGTTCGCTCCCGAACCCGAGGACGTTCCAAGACTCCAGCCCGATCCAGGTCAGTTCCTCCTGGTCGGCGAGCTGCTCCAGAACCTCCAGTACTCCCTCCTCAGCTTCATTACGGTCCTGAGCCAGAAGCCGAGGACTTTGAAGAAGAAGAGGAAATGATTCCAGTCCCTGCTGAGATGTCACGAGGCTCGAAACGTCCGGATCCGGAGCCGCCTCATGATGATGAGGCAGAGATGATCCCCGTGCCGCAGGCTCACAATTCGCTGGTGGAAAATTTGGACATGAGTCGTTTCTTGAATGATCCTCAATACCTGCCCGCGAACTTTGTGACCTTGGATCAGGAAGAGAGTGAGAGTTCTGCCTATGTCATCCAGAATGCCTCATGCGCCTCCTTGCAGGACGAGTCCCCTGCGTTTGCAGTCACCCTCGCTGCCCCATCGAGCGAGGCCGAGTGGAAGGCCCTCGTGAAGAATCCCAAACGATTCATCGCGAAAAGCGTCCAAAAGGGCGTAGAGGTCAGCTATGCCAAACTTAATGGGGTACAGCGTGCTGCAATGGACGAGGCCATGAAGGTCGAAGTGGACAACTGGATGAAGACCCAGGCTGTGAGGGCAGTTCAGAAGTTTCTGCCTCAGAGAGAGTTGCTCAAAATGCGATGGGTTCTCACTTTCAAAAGTGCTCCTGATGAATCTGCTGAGCCAAAGGATGGACAACCTGCGAGCGATTCCCCCAAAGCCTCTGGAGAGCGGATCAAAGCCAAGGCGAGAATTGTCATTCTCGGCTACTCCGATCCGAATCTTCTGGAGGCCAATACGGTGAGCCCAGCTATGTCACGTCTTTCTCGGCAACTTCTGTTAAACATGGCTTCAGTTCGAAAGTGGGACATCTTGTGTGGGGATGTGAAATCGGCCTTCTTACAGGCAAAATCTCCACAAGGGCAGAGGTGCGTGTTCGCGGCTCCAGTTCCCGAGCTGGCGCGTGCGCTCGGCCTACAAGAAGGACAGGCAGTGCAGCTCCTACGCAGCTGCTACGGATTGGTGTCCGCCCCAAGAGAATGGTACGAAGATGTACATAGGACTTTGGTCAGCTTAGGTGCCGAAAGGCTTACCACCGACAGCTGTGTGTGGCGCATCCGGGATGCTTCAGGCGCTGTGGTTGGACTTGTGTCCAGCCATGTTGACGACTTCTTAATGACGGGATGCTCCTCCTCAAAGGCCTGGCAAGACTTCTTGCACGGCTTCAAGAATGCCTATGAATGGAGTCCATGGGAGCATGGAGCCTTTCGACATTGTGGTGTCAACATCATGCAGCATCCTGACCATTCTGTAAGCTTAGACCACTCCAGTTTCTGCCAGGAGTTGAAGCAGCTCGACCCGATCCGTGAAGAGCGCAAGTTGACTCTTGCGGAAGTCAGCCAGGTGCGTGCCGTGTTGGGAAGTGTGCAGTGGAGAGTTTATCAAAGTGCTCCACAGCACGCTGCTAAACTTAATTATCTGCAATCTCTCATCGCTTCGCAAGATTCCAGCATCGTGGAACAGGTCAACAAGTTGATCCGTGAAGTGTATTCAGCTCGAAGTTTGTCTGTTCAGGTGCAATCTTTGGGAGCAGAGGATCCCGAGCAGTTATGCATGATCGCATGGTCAGACGCTTCTCTTGCGAATCGTCCGGATTTCTCATCCACAGGAGGGCATTTAATTGCTCTAATGCATCAGCAGTCTCTCGAGGCTGGAATGGGACGCATCAATCCTATCGCCTGGAAGAGTGGAAGATTGCACCGAATAGCCCGTAGTTCTTTGAGTGCAGAATCACAAGCCCTTGCTGACACCGAGCAGGAGCTTTTCTTTGCTCGCTTAGAGTGGCGGGAGATGATCGGCGACTATGTCGATGCCAAGGTCCCAGAGAATACGGCGGCCAAGGTCCCTTCATACCTTGTGGTCGACGCAAAGGCCATGTTCGATACGTTGTCGAAGGGTGTCTTCGTTGCCAGTCAAAAGGATAAGTATACTGGTTTGGAACTTTTGTCGTTGAGTCAGCATCTAGAAAAACAAAAGACAGTGCTTTTGTGGTGTGATAGCAACCACATGCTGGCGGATGGTTTGACGAAGGCTAGCAAACAAGATGTGCTCAAACGTTTCCTGGCATCTGGATATTGGAGGATCCGTTACGATGGAGCCTTCATTTCAGCGAAGAAGAGACGCCAGATGTTGAGGGAGCCTGCTGCGGAGAATGTGACAAACTCTGTTTTTCTTCAGTGTACAGAGCAGGCGCAAGCACTGAAATGCTTCGGCATTCTTCCTGGGGGCATGTCAGAAGACTTGTACAAATCAGTTTTGCCTCCACCTTCCAGTGCTTGCAAGCATTCGGTTCTCACTTCCAGGAGCTCCTTCGGCCCGAGGTCTTAGCGACCGAAAACGTGCTACGCTGTGTAACTCCAAGCCATCCTTAGGATAGCTTCGCTTCAGCCATAGGCTCCTGACTCTTTTCCTTCAGATCTCAGATCGACTTCGTGCGAGCAGTGCGGAAAACGACTACCACTTCTTGCATCACATTTTTGGCGACAACAGATTCCCTGGAAGCCACATAGAAGAGGAGAGCCCAACACGCTGACCGATAGACGGTTTCTTTGCGCTTGGAATTGCAAGTTTTAGGTGGACATAAGTTTTGAGGAAGCTTCACGTAGATTAGTCGCAGGTTTATGGTATCCTGTTTCGTGTCCGCTCTCACCTCGTTCGTGCCGCGCACGCTGGTTGAGCCATCTTAGCCAGATATCTTTGAGGTGTGTGCCACAACCCTGCACGCGTAGATTTGTGCAAGTTTGTGCGCAAGCTTTTTTTCCCGAGAGTCCTTGCTTTGCATCTCCCGCACTGGCCATGAAGCAGCGTGGGGTGTTCATTGTTCATCTGCGTTTTCATTCTCTGCATCTCTGACACTGCTTTGAGCCGACCATTCGAGGCTTCTGAGCGCGAGCAGATAGAGGTCAAGCGCTCCATCGAGGCAGCGATTAGTTTCGGGGGTGGAAGAATGCTGCAACTAGGATTGCTGTCGCAAGGGCCTCACCGGCTGACATTGCAGTCCAAAATCGACCGCAGCAGTTTCTGGCTACAGCTTTGCAGAGGTGACAAGGCATGTTGGGAGTTGCAGGACGTAGCTGCATTGAAGTGATTATGAAGTGTGGTAACCTTTCAGGGTAAACCAGCAAAGCTGCGGAACCAAGCTTGCACCATATGCATGTGATTGCCAACTTCATTTTGTTGTGGAGGAGGCGCATTCACATGGTCCTTCAATCATGGTACTTCCTGTGTGTCTTCCTGGCACTGCGGGCAACTGGGTTCTTTGTACCGCTGGATGCTTCGAGCATCCAGGCAAGTGGAACACTGCAAACGGGTTGCCACACAAAGTGGTCTGACTGTGGTAGTGCCGTTCCAGCACCCATGACCTGAAGTATCTTGGGGATCTTGCCCACGCCCTCTGTTCCTGTGAGCACAGGCCCTCTTTGGTCGATTTGCTCTGCTTGCAGCTCGGCCTGGGGTTTCGTCTTCGGGTTGTAGCGAGCTTGCTGGGCCTGCCTTGAGAACCACTTGTCCTGACATGCACTGTCAGCTTCATACTTTCTTGTCAGCCGTTCTCTAAGGAGATCCCCAAGTCCAAATGTCGCTACAAGGATGCGGGCAGGGCAAAGACTTGTACATTTTTTGCTACAGGATGCCAGAGATATCTTCGCCGAGGATGCCTCAGATGCCCAGCATGTCAACTTTCATGGGCAGCATGTAAAACGCACAAGTTGTAGAACACGCGTGAGGTGTCTGTCTCTCTGTCTCTCTCTTTAAAATGGCAGGCTGTCTATCTTTCACTGGCCCAGACTCATGCGGTGAGGATACTGGCACATGGCATCCGGAGTGTGTCCATGGCCTGGACGAGTTTGTAGAGTGTGAGCACCTTGGCTCGTCTAGGGCGTCTAGGAATGTTCTCAGCATCAACCAGTGTCCCATGATGACCATCATTGCGAAGCTCACACGCTTATGTGGACCACAGCTTCTATGCAGGTACAACGGGTACCAATACTCGATGGAGTGGTACTTCATGCAGATGCTCCGGGACTTCTGCCCATTGCCTTGCGTTAGCGTCCTGAGCGTCATGTTTTGTCATAGCAAATTGGCAAGGAGAGCCGCCAGTACCTGGCCGAATCACTTGACAAGGCGTGTTCATGCATCTCCCTCGTGTCGCTTCGCTCATGCAGTGAGGGTCACGCGCCTTCTTTCTTGCCAAGGCAGAATTCATCTACTTCCCGCAGTGTGTGTCACAGCTCTACTTTGCACTCCGGCAAAGCTACAACTTCACGCACTGGCAGGCCCGTAAATTCAGTTTAAGCCCAGTTCTTGCTAGAAAGCCCATTGCAGGTTTTCGGCCGAGCCATCCACGCAGCACAGTTGTCAGATAAGAGCGACTCGCTTGACTCGCTGTAGACGTTCCAAGCCGCTTTCAAGGCCATCGAACGGGCTGAGCTTGGCAGCTCGGCCTGTTTTGGCAAACTGGCCGAGCAGGGTAGCACAATCTTGACGTGTGCTTGTGTGACTTTGTGTGGCGATGAGGTTACTTGGTGCCAATTCTTCGCTGGGCACATGCCTCCCCCGCGCATCGCGCGTCGCTTGGATAGACATGACTCGCTGAACTTGGACGATGAAACTGCAGTCCGCAGTAACACCTCCGTCCGTCCATGCGGAATATAATTCGGCACATGTGAGTGCAATCGCAAAGGACCGGTGGCCTAAACTTCTGGACTGTCTTCTCCATGGACTTGGGCCGTCAGGACTTGACACTTAGCAGTCATAGAGAGGTCCTCTTCAAGCACGGCCTCCACTGCACAGGCAACAATGCAGGCCTTTGTTGATGCTTGCACACAGAGTCCTGTTGAATATTACCAGTAGTAGAGCTGCGGAGAAGCACCCATGTGCACCTTATGTGACCCAGCCGAGTCGGGGCAGCGGAATTTTCCTCTAGAGTAACCGTAGTAACAGTAACAAGGACACCACGAATACATGCATTCATCCGTGCACGTGCCTTTTTTTGGTGTACGACAACCCCGGACGGCAAACATTCACCTTTGACCGACCCACCAGGTCCGGCGCCCTCCCCTTGCGGACCGTTCGGTAGGGCCATGTGTTTGCTGTTTTTGACAACGTGGCATGGCACACTTTGTCACTAGAAGGGCACAGTGCTCAGCATTGTGAAAATGCACCAGGACTACTTTCTTGTGTTTGCTCTGAAGATCAACGAAGATCAGCATTTCAAAAAGTGTGGCCACGGTTTTGTTATATCTGGAGTTAGGAAGCGAGTAGCTTGTGGGCCCTCGTACTCTACATGGCCCCAGCCCCCCAGGACTTTCCGCGAAGCGCTGCCTGGCTTCAGCCCTGGAGTGTGGGATCGCTGACCGGGACCCGCAGCAAACCAAGGGAAACCTCGTAAGGATACCTTAAGAATATTTCTTAAGGATACCTCTTGAGGATACCTCTTGAGGATGCCTCTTCAGAATACCTGTGACGGCTGTGATAACTTTGCCGGGGATCTCTTAGTTCAGTCTCGGCTTTGCAGCTTTGAGGTCAAGAGGCGCCGGGGCATGCAAGAGTTGTCTGGCCAGCAAGCCGAACATCTGTTAAGAAGTCTGAACTGCAGGGTGCAGGGACGGCTTGACAAAGTTTTCCTGTAGACTTCACGACTGAAAGCTTCTGCAGGAGTGCCACTTGGACCATCGACCAACAGATGCTTCACAAGAGCGCATTCCTGTCAGGCTCGCAGCTGCATGCTTCGTGCTTTCCACTTCAGAAGCCGAGTCCTGCGGGTATCGAGTAGATTTTGTGGGAAGTAATCCTTGAAAGCCTCACAGACAGACAGACACACACACACACACGCACACACACGTACACCTTTTCAATCGCCCAAAAGCCCCAAAATGGCCTTCCCTCTCAAGGTCCCGGCTACAAGGCAGACAGCTGCTGGGAGGAGGCATTCATTCTGCAGCGCTGATGCATAGTCGGGAGTTAAAAATTTGAGGGTTTGCAAGAGCAGCGGGGGGCTTTTGACGTCGGCAGCGAACTCTGAGGAAGCTGCACGGCAATGCGGACCGTCCTACTTAGCTGAGCACACATATCATGTGGAAGGACACGAAGCCAGTTGCTCTGGCAAACGAGATGTTCCCAGCCCGCCACTTGTTCTGCAGATTGATGAACGTATTAAGCATGAGTGCAGGGTGAGTAGGAACAAGCATGTGCACCGTGTAATTAGTAATTAGATGGCTCAGGCAGCTTCTACAAGCAAGACACGGTGATCTCAATTCCTTCAAGGCCGCTTGGCGAGACCGATGCTACTACATCGGTGCAGCGATTGACAAGTTCTGAAGTGCGACGAAGCTGCGCGAAGCCTGCGCTGCCAGATGCTGCCAGGTTCAGTCCCCATCCCCGATCCCGGCGCTTTGGAGGCCAAAATCCATGGCTTTGTAAGAGAAGAAAGGAGGGGAAACGACATGGAGAGACCCGCTTCAGACCTCCTGCTGTGTCTACAGCTTTCATTCTCGCATGTCCCCTCACGCAGGGCGCACTGTGCTGGGCTTCTTTGCCGGGTCGCCGAACTCTTGCGCCCGCAAGAGGCCTGCATTAGCACAGATACTCACAGGCTTAAAGTGTAACAACAAGCCGCCAGCATCTTGCATCCAACAGAATCCACCAGCGACTCTCTGCTCAGGGTGCTTGCAGCACTGGCAGCGGAGCCAGGATTCGAGCCTCGGCTAGGGCTACCAACGTCTCGGCGAGAGGTAGCAGCGAGCTCCCCTCAACTGCATTTCGCAGAGTACCGCATCTGACAGAGCACGCCAAGCTGACCCGATCTTCAGGAGGCTTGAGTTCACCCACAACGTCCGAAGATTCCGGAAATAATTGGGACCAGATCTGGGCAGGGCAGTCTTTTGCAGGCGTCTGCAGGCAAGCCGTTGTGCATGCCAGTGTATGCCAAGGATGTCTCGACCAGCTTCGCCAAGGACGACGAGAACTACCGCGAGCGCATGTGGAGAGCTCGCTTCTGCTTCGTACTCCGAGGACGGGAAGGGGTTGGCTTCAACACTCACAGGCTTTGCAAAAGAGAGGTGCGCAGACTCCGAGGGGCCTTCGTGCTTTTGCGTGTGTGCAGTGGTGGTGCAGTCACAGTTGGATAGCAAGTAAGCACGCTTGTAAAGCATGTCCTTCAATGCCTTTGATGGCCTCACGGTGTCTTCAGCCTCTCATCTGCTCCGCTCTGTGCCACCCGGGAAGGATCCTCGCACACCAACAATGTTCGACTTTACGATGCTCTGCGGAGAATGCGCGAACTCTAAATTCACACAAGTTGGCTTCAGTAGGCAAGTCCCATGTCCGCAAGTCATAAAGGTCTTCCAGAAACGGCTTCTGCTTAGATAAGATGTCCATGACGGCACAGTAGCTTTATTGATCATGAGTTTCGGATGATGCTGTGGACAGCAGTTCAGGATGTTATGGCCCACGGATGTGTTCCAGTGGTCGTGTCCGACGACTTCCAAGCCCCATTGGACAGGCATTGCGGCAATGCGGCTGTGGCTGACGAGGGACTCTGTAAGTATCTGCAGCTCATGCGGCGCCAGCCATGACGAAAGGAGGGTCGATAGTTCATCTTCAATAATGCGTTCAAAGATGCCCACCGAGACCGAGATGTCAAGCAAGTCCAGAGCGTTGACGGTGTCATGTTGGCAGGTTGCTTCCCTGGAGGGAGATGGCCATCTTCTTGCCGACGAGCAGCATCCCAAGGCAGTGTCCCACGGCATGCCACAAACAGCCATGACAGTCACAAGCCATTGGCGGGGGTCCTCAAGTTGTGCAGGCCTGGTAGAGGCAAAACCGCTCCGAACTCAAAGCAATCTGCCATTCGTACCGAACGATCGACTCTCATCTCTGGCACGCAGGCTTGCGGAGATCCTTCGGCATGAAATCACAGAGGCATGGACGGGCCTGTCTTACCTAGACCATGTAGAATCGCAAACGCTGCAGTGCATGTAGCCACCCAGAAGCCGCGAAAAAGTCCGAAGCATCGCTGAAGCATTGCTGACCGTCCCAAAAGCGGCCTTTGCAACAGCGCAAGCTCCAGTCGGCACAGCAGCCTGACAATTGGCTGAGTCTTGCTTTGAAGGCGGATCGTTGGCGCTACTTCCAGAACATCGCGCTCGGCAGTCCTCCAGGCCATCCTACTGCCAACAAGCTACTCCTAGTGGACCCTGAGCTTCCGCCAGGTGCTAAAGGCTTTCCTGCAGACCTCACCATGGCCAAGACCATGGCAAGCACCAAAGGTCTGGACCAGGTCGGGCAAGAAAATCCGTTCATCGTCGCGTTCCCGGGTTTGTGTATGAGCAACTTCTCTACATAGTTGGTGAGAGCATTTGCTCGCTTGCATTTGTCCGATACATGCTGACTCTGCTACACACACTTTCCCACCAGCTTCCTGTCACAGTTTTCCTGTACGTCCGGGGAATCGTGCAGAGTCAGGAGACACTTTGGAGTGGCTTGTCTGCCAGCAAGGCCCGATACCGTTGAACGGGTTAGGATTACATGATCTGAGCTTCTCAAGAAGTCTCGAGTGTCATTTGCTGCCTTCCCTCGTGAAGTGCTCGCTTGAAGCTTTTCTGGCCTCTTGAAGCAATATAAGCAATCTGGGACTGCTGGTTACCCTTCACAACCGTAGAATCTAGAAGACTTCTAGCTGCAGAAGAGAAGAACTCTAAGAATTCTCCGGGGACGAGAACCCTAAACCCTAAACCTTAAACCCTGAAAACATCTGAAAACCCTAAACCCTAAAACCCCAAAAACCCAAGCCATGAGATGCCTCTGAAGGTCTTCGAGTGGCATGAGAGCCAGTTCTGGATGCTCTTCTACGCTGACGTCGCCTCGAAGCTGCGAGATCGGCTCCGCGAGGCCGCAAGAGAGCGAACTGAAGAGTTACGACAGCTGCTTTTTTTGCTAACTTTTGGAAACATCATATATATATATATATGTATAGAATAACATATAACATCTTAACAGATTAGAAATTATGCATTATAGGTTATAGATCATATATTATATACTATCACATATACACACTTGACCCGAGGCAAAGGCTCCACCCAGCGAGACGACTGAACGCAATTCAACGGAGACGCCGCTTCTGGCCGCCTGGCACACCGCTGCCTTGGTAGCCTGTTCGCCACGCTGTAGCCGGGCCTTCTACCCACACAGGTAAGTCGTTGGGCGAAACACGGCCTGACCAGATACATACAAGTACAGTAATGGTCTGCTTTTGGGGTGATTCGCAGGCTTGGCCCAAAGCACACAGGGCCTCTCATATTACAATAATTCATCTCGAGCCTGGAACAAAAGCAAGCCGCTGAGCATCAACACAAGTGGCCGCATGGTGAGCATTGCGCTTTTTACACTTCCGGCCTGCACTCAGTCAGCAAAAGCAGGTGCACAAGGGCCAACAGCACAAGTTTCCGTACGAAGTTCTTTGCTGATGTAGACAGTGCCGATTAAGAGGATCAGGAGCGTTTCTTCGATCGCTAGGTCTTGTCAGTTGGAGCACCTCAAAATCATACCCGACATTTTCAGGGTGGCATCATCGCTTAAATGGAACTTTCAAAGAGTCACCACCGTCACCGTACATGATGTGAATGATGTGAATAAAGAAGAAGAAGACGAAAAGACAGACCATGACAGACATTCAGGCAGCATTCCGATGGGTCTTGGACTTGAATTGGCGCCGTGACCAACGCTGCGCGGCAAAGAGGGAAATTCAGCAATCCACCTTCTTAAGCCTTTTCAGGCAGAGTTTTGCGGCATGCATAGACTGGAAAGTCAAGAAAGCTTAAAGCGCATGCATAGGATGTCACAGAATTCACCAGTGCCGGACAACAGAGGTACCTAGAGAGGATCAAGTCCTTGCCTGTGAAATCTCAATCTCCCGTCAAAGTTGTTGCATGCGAAGCTTTAAGGACCGTGGGTTTTCGTGGACTGCGGCGGAGTGTCTCCTGAACCCTTTCGGGCACTTGGAGGCCTTCCAGTGCATGGGAGGACGGTATGCTCCAGAAACAGAGACTCAGCCAGGGAGGCTGAGAGCACCTGAGAGCTGTATCCTTGGTTTTGTGATCAGGCTGGCGCGATGTAGACGGCTGCTGTCAGGCACGCTCCTGGATCATGTTTCCAGTCAGAGCCGGCAACCTTCAAGCTACAGCGTTGGAGCTATAGGGCGCTAATGTCAGGCACAAGCTTTCACTTGCACCCTCTGCACGCCAAATACTCTCCGTCATGTTTTGCAGCTCTGGCATCCCTCACCTCTCACTCTTTCTTCTGCCTTGACGACCGGTGTGTCTCAGGCCCGAATGCTGGCTGTTGAGTGGCGAAACCCTTCACTCAAACGTCCGTATCGTCCGTCTTTGCCCAAGTTGGGAGAACACGGGACCTCACAGTTTCGAGAGATGTCGGGGGCAGCATGATGCCGGACAGTGCTGATGTGGGTTAGGAGAGGACTTCCTGGCAGATCTTCAGACTTTGAACATAGGTGACAATGTGCATCTGTGAGCTGTGAATGCAACACTCTTTTGCGACCAAGCGACCGAGGCAGGTGGCGGGCCTTCCAGCTCTTAGGCAGTGCACGGAGGTCACCGTCATCCAGGACTGGGCCGAACGAGTTGGCGCCCATGGGCTTCAGGGAAAAAATGCTCCCCGGCGGGAGGACAGCGACTTGTCTAAGCTCCAGCAGATCTCCAAGCAACTCCCCGGCTTGTGCCGCAGGCCATGCAGATTGTTGCGAGCGCCACCTTAACGTGAAAACTTTCATTTAGGACTTTAGGGCTGGGTCCATTGACTACAGAAAAGTCGTTGGCACGGAAGGCGCAAATGTCAAGCACCTGACAGCGACAATGCCCAAGCAGAGGGTCTGGCGGACATCGTCGTGCAGGTCTGAGGCTATGAAGTCACCTGGGGAAGTGAAATTCCAGCACAGTTCAACACTATGAAAAATGCGTGATGGCTTGGCTAGGTCGGTCGTCGCTGCCACCCAGATCGAGCCTTGCTTGCATGAACTTTGCATGATTTGCGCCACGAAGGGCCCACAGGAAGTGTCTCGAATGGGAGGTGGTCCTTAGTGGTCCCACAGTACCAAGGTCTCTTCACACTGTTGCCCAAGCTCTGGCCCCGCTACTTGTGGCTGGAAGGCATCGGCTCGCCGTCAAGAAAAGAGACCTGCCGTTGCTCCAGGAAAGAAGTTGCCTCGTGAAGCTTCGGGCGGCTTGCGCCGCTGCGCCGCATTGTGCCATGCCATGCGAGGCGCCAGCCCATCCGCAGCACGCTCCGGGCTCCTGCGCGCTCTCCTGCAGGCAACACGGCGAAGGCCTCCACTCAAGTTTTTCACACTGTCTGCAAACCACGCTACCAAGGAGGGATGGCTGTGCTTCCGTCCCGCAGCTTGGCACATCTTGGCACCAATCTGCGCACCATTGTGCACACTTGTGCACACTAGTGCACACTTGTGCACACTTGTGCACGGCCGTTGACATCCTGGAAGCTTTTTGGATTGGGGCTTGCGTTGAGGCCTGGTGTTGTGCATAGGCCTTCTGCATCTCAGCTTCTCAGGCTGGCGCTCGCCTAGCGCCACTCTTCGAGCCCTTCGCCGGGAAGCCGCAGCTGGGTCGAGGTGGCGCATTGTGTGCACAGGACCCATATGCCATATCATCAAAACTCGGGTTCTCTTTGACTCCGCGACTTAGACCAAAGCAGGAGACTGACGAGAGCTTGGACCTGCTTGTTCGCACGGGTCCCTACTCGTCGCAAGGTCCCGAGTGCCTGGGTGGCAGTACTTGGGGTCACCGTGAGCAGAGGCAGAAGTAGTGACTGTAGTCACCTGTGACTCACCTGTGTATTCATTGTGCATTCCTAGAGTTAGCTTGCGCGCCGAGACCAGTGACCAGGCGTTGGGGTGCGCAGTTCGTCTTCAAGCCGCCCAAGGACCGGACACACCACGCACAAGGGCTGCATGCAAATTGTTGGCATGCTAGCCGAACTTGTGCTGACCAGGGCATTCCAATTCTTTCCAAAGCTCTGAAGGAGGCAGCCAACACGCGAGGACGTTTCTTGCACTCATTCGGTTAGCTTGCGATCCGAGACTCGGACGGGTCGGAACGGGTCGGTGCTGCCGGGCAACCTGCGTCTTCGAGTTCATGGTCGAGGTTCTGCCGAGGGTCACGCGAGCACATCACGTTGTTCCCCGAGAACCTGGCGTATCTGGCTAAGAACCACCACCTGCGCCGCTGGAGTCGACCAGAAGCCTATTGAGCCTTGTCCAAGGCCACCCCCGCACTGCCAGCAACCGGCCAGCTTCGAGGAAGATGAGAGCCTCATAGAGGCTCAAAGAGGCTCAAAGCTCATGGCTCAAGGTGTGAAGGATGGTGCTCTGCCAGAACTTCCACGCCTCCGTCCAAACAGGGCTCAGCGCACGAGGTTGCCCTCATTCTACGCCATGCACATGTGGACGTGGACCATTCTTGAACATATAGTCGCATCCGTGCATGCGACAGCTAATGTCCCCTAACTCTTCCGCACGGCATGATGAGTTCATCCAACTGATCGAAAATAGGCATGATCTAAGCTGTTTCTCTTCGCAGAGAAAAAGGTGCGAGGTGCGCTCATGCCTTGCACCAAGCTGCTCACAAAGCTGTTCCTATGCTGTCCTTAAGCACCACGGTGGCCGAAGCATTTGGAGGCCACGGAGTTGACCCGAGCTGTCCGAGTTCGAGTTGGAGGAAGGAGCTGAACGGTCACCAAAGAAGGGCGCTGCCGGGGGAAGCTTTGAGAAGCATTGCCGCAGCATTGCGAGTGGAGCACGTGGCATTCCAGGTGGTAAGATTTGCCCGCGTGTGTTGCGCCATCCGGTACCATGACATGAACATTTTTCCATTTAATGGGCAGTCACCCCCTCAGCGCATGCTACAGTAGAGGCCGCCCGCAAAGCATTCGCAAAGTCCTGACCCCTGTACCTTTGTGCGCAGCAGAGTTTCCAAGAACTGGCATGCACAGCACACCCTTGGGCCAGATCTCCTCCGGCTGAAGATCTTGGCTCAAAGCCGAATTAGTGTGCGCCTTCTCTCGCAACAAGCGCCACCCGCCATCAATTCATTTTTGGGGGACTCTTCATTTCCCGGCTGTTATTCCATCGGCCTTTCCCGGAGAGATTGAAACTCAGGTAGAGGGCAGCGGGCATTGGGCAGCTGCTCGATGTTCTTCTGCTGCTGCAACGAGGAGCGGGAGGGCTTCGATGCGGTTGCCGTGGCACCTCGGACCAGAAATTTGCAGCAGATATGTTACGAGAAGTGCACAATGTGGCTGGCTGTATCGAACAATGACATGGCGGGGTCTCATGGCAGGGCTATGTAGTTGATACTTGTAGCTTCCAGAATCTTTAGAAATGATAGAACTTACATATAGAACTTACAGATGAAATTCGCTCTTCTCAGGCTGGCATTTCAAAACCCGTGCCGCTTGGGCACTGAGGATGGCGAGCGCACGCACGGACTCGTCAAGTCGACTCCGGCCCTTGCGGAGTCCATGATGGCACCTGGGAGGGACTATGAGGGACCATTTGGAGTTTAGGGAAGTTTAGGGTTGAGAGTTTAGGGTTTAGGATTTCGCCCCCCCCCGCCTCCCAGTTTCAGGGTTTAAGGTTTAGCCCTCGTCATGGTCTTATTTTGGGGCGAAGCTGCAAACAGCTCTTTCTTCCAGCTTTTCAACTGCGTCTGCATTCCTACCAGTAGCAGAGCACCTCAGTAAGGCTGAAAGTGGCCTATACAGTGTTCAGCTTCAGCGCGGAACAGATCGGAAGTGGGATTTGGCCCTGGAGAAGTCAGACGTAGACGCTCGGAGCAAAAGCGTTCTATGACTTAAGCTCGGACTGTCGCTGCAGATTGCTCGCCACATCATGCTAGCATGCTGGAGGTTCGGCATGTTGTGTTGTCACGTCGTGTTTGCACCGTTCAAGACACGCAGCCATGTTTTCAGGACCACTTGATGATCAAGAGGATTACCAACGCTGTGACGGATTGGAACAAGCGCCTTGCCTCCACATGACGTGGCGACACCCAGAATGTGTATAGTTAGAAAGGCTGACCGATTACTGCAGCTGCTGCAGACTGGAGCGAAACAGGGTGAACTTCCGAGGAACAACCCCACGAACATGCAAATTAGCGTCTACGATCGCATCATCGAAGTCAATGGCCTGCGCGCCTCTGGAAAGGAGCTCGCCAGCTTCTCAGGTCTGAGCTTCGATGCCAAGCTTTAAGCACTCGGCTTTTGCGGTGGAAGTTCACCACCCAGGCAAAAGCTTTGGAAAACACTTCGGAGGACCAGGTCCCGTTTGGCTTCATGTTGCCATTTAATGCAGCTGCGCACTGCAGAGGCTGTCATGCGCTTTCTGTTGGAGTCTAGCTTCGACTCCTTCGACTCCCTTGAAGGTGAGTCTATTGCTTCAGCGGCCACACACACGAACTCTCATTCTGAAGCGGCCTGGGAGCTCTTGTCGACAATTAGGGGGCTTCAGTTTGCTGGGACCATGGTGGGACCTGAAACGTAACCTCGGCTTGCCAAGGAAGTTGGGGATCATCGCGAACTACATGCCAAACTACTCCCTTAAGCCGTGGATCGACACCATTGCAGAAGGTTTGGTTCACGATTGGAACAAGGCCCTTGAGTTCAAGCGGGTGGGGGGGGGAAGGCGGCATTTAGTGAGACGGTGTCAACTCCGGAGTGGATCTCTGGCCTTGGATTGCTCGGGGATGTCAAAGTTTCAGGTGACTTGAGGATCTTTTCATGTCTGCAATAACGCACTCGGTCCTAGTAGATCCTGAAAAGTCAAGTTAGGGCGTGAGAGGGTCCTTCGCAATGTTAAGCATCAAGCAAGCCTCGATAGGCTTGCTTTGAACCGTTCGCACGCAAGCTCTGTGTCAAAACCATGTCCCGGTTGCCCGGCAAATATGCTCTCAAGTCCACTGCCCATGGGAGGTTAATATTGATGCCGCTATCCGAGAGCACGACCGAATAATGTCTGTCAACGGTGTGCCGCATGCTCGGCAGGGCTTGACTGCGCTTGGAAGGGCAGGATTGAACTGCATTGGAGATCATTGAGGGATAGCATTAATTGCCTTGAGCATGTGGTTTCTGATGCATTCACTGCATGTTGGTCCAGCTGCTGTGGCAGCATTGCTAGCATGGCTGCATTGCACACTTTACAGGCCCCAAGAATCTACCTGTGACTGTGACTGCGACACGTGAAGAGGTCCAATCCACCGGAGGATGTGGTCCACCAAATGCGGAAACCTGATGCAGACCTCGAGATAGTTTGTTTGCATTATCCGAACTGTTGAGGCGAGGTTGAACCTGCAGGCTGGTCCTGGAAAGCCAATGCAAAGACCGTGCAGAGGGATTGCGTCTCACAAGAGCGACACTCCTCTGGAGCTGTGTCACGAGGGCCTCTGCTCTTTGAATCGGAAAAGGCGCAGCGAAGCGACATTGTATATAGTCAGCTTCACCGTCCAAGTCGAGGCCCTCATGGCATGTCCTTGTGGGCACGCGGTCTACCGCAATGTGCTTCTGTGTCTTCTCTTGAGCCAAATATGTGCTTCACATTTGGCTTTCGCACTCGTTGAGGAAGTGTTGTGCAACAGGGTAGTCTGCGAAGCCCACCGCAACCGGCATCTTTTTGACTGACCAGGGCTCAAACCAACGTGGCCTAAGCAGAAGGTCTACCAATCTAAGAGTCTCATCATGATTCGCTGTTTGCTACTGTAGGGAGCCGCAGCTTCTTTCTGATCACTTGAGGAAGCTGGATCTCACCATTTGGAGACCAAGGTCCGTAAGGCAGCCACCGCTGCAATCCGCATGGGCAATCGACATGACTCATCCACTCTCTGGTGCGTCCCCTGTTTTCTTGCTTCCGACATTCAGAGTGTCTTGCGGAGTTTCCCAAAGGGAACTTCGTATTCCGGAGATCTGCCTATGACCAGGCACACGATGGCACGAACAAGCTTTGCTGAAGTCAAAGACGTTCCGGCAATCTCGTCATCCTGAGCCGCATCTCAGACAGGCATACTCAGGATCCCTGTATAATTCACAATGCACAAACCAGATAAACATGTGGTTTTCAAGGCACCAAAAAAGACCCTAAATAGGGAACAAAAATCCCGAAGATGCTCCCGACCCCTTCAAGCCCCCCAACCCCCCCCCCCCTTCTGAACACCCACAAAAAATACCCCAAACCGCCAAACCCCCCCCCCCCCCCCCCCAAAAAAAAAAACAACCTTCCAAAAACCCCAAAACGGCCCATCCACATATAGAAAAGTAAAAAAAAAACAAAACCCGGCAAAACCACCCCAAACTCCGATTACAAACCCTATACCATCCCCTCTCAACCCTCTCAACCCTCTCAACCCTCTCAACCCTCTCAACCCAACGCCCTCAACCCCCTCCTCAAACCCCCCCCTCAACCCCCCCCCTCAAGTTGGCGGATACCATTTCCATTTTCTAACCATGCACACCCCCCTAGGCCACCTGAAGACCCAAAACCATAACAACCTATACTTCAACCCTAAACCCACCGAAAGACCCATAGGAAAGACCCACCTGAAGAACCCATACTATGGAACTACCCACAACCCCATAGAAAAACCACAACCTCAAACCCATAGACCAGCACCCCCATAGAAAAACCCATATTCCCCAACCCATATTCCCTAACCCTTGAAAATGGAAATGGTACCCGCTAATAACTTTATAATAATAGGGAATAAGGTTTAGGGATAAAGTAAAATCATAATACAATTATAATCTATAACAACTTAAGGATTATAAGTATATTATACTTATGATTTCTCTCGGCGCTGGGTGGCAGGAAATTATTCGTTTAATCGTTTGCATATTTACCTTTTTTGCTTTTCGTATTCTGCCTTAATTTCTGCTTATAATTCGTCGTTTAGTTTGCCTTTTTTCTTTAAATGAACTAGCTTTGTTAAATAACTTTTCATTAATGTATTCAGTTCCGTAGAGATCCTCAACGTTACCGATAAGCGCACGGCGTGGCGTTCAAATGGCAACTCTGCTGGCTGCCAGGGCAGGTACTTCGTCCAAGATTTAAGAATGTATCGACGGCCTGCGGGCCAACAACACAATGATTTTCAACTATTCTGTGCGCCTCCAAAGTCATATATAATCCCCGCTACAAATCGAAACTACGTGCATTGCACTCGTGATGCGATTCACCGGGCCTACGATACAATCTCGCATCCCCCCAGGGCACAAATACTCTTCAATAGATCTTCTCCACCTTTCTCCAGTCTACCTAAACTCTCAAATACCACCGGCTCATATCCGATGTTCGCGGCGGCGCAATGATCTCCAAATCCCCTAGAATTACGCTTGTATTATGAATAGCGCTTGGCACTAGCTAGGACCTCCCGGCGCGGCTGTGTTGGAACGGCGAAGTGATAGCTATGTCGAGCGTTAGCTTAGGGAATCTACGCCAACCATTGGGGCGGATTGTTGGCGGAGCAACAATGAGTGTGTCGGTTGGTC